AAATTAATCGTTATATGATTTAGTCATACCTCATGATTGAATTAATTATGATTAAATCATATAATGATTAATTTACTCATGACAAATTCAGTCATGATTAAACTCAATCAGAATTCTTAATCATGATTGAATTAGTTAGATTTTGCCCAATTCTGCTCTGCCCATAATAAACAGTGCTCGCTTGAAGTCTTGGAATCTCCATACTAGACTTAAACAAGTACTTAATATACTTAAACTTCTTCCTCGACTCGTTAGACAGATCCAACATGAACTCACTGTATGAAAATATACTCGACCAAAGCATCTAAATACTCCTTTCTATGTGTCCTTAGTCCAGCATAAAATTAACATAAGTTTTCCACTCTTCACTCTCTGGTCATTCCAATCCTTTAAGGGTTAAAACTGTTAAAACGACCTATGCATCGTGACCATTAAGATTCTCCAGCTCATCATTGAGCTTTTTTTACCAGATCCTTGTTAAGCACTCGTATCCACCAGGCTTTTCCTCTTCCAGAAGAACGAATCTTAGCCCGCACAAACCTTCACACCAACTGAGGACGTTGTGCTATTTCTTCTTCTTGAATGGCACTGGCTTGTTTTTGTTGCTTTGAATTCCAAGTCTTTATTAACTTTTCTTTTTTTATATATTACCAAGGTTCATATCTTTATTGATAGGTTGAAAAATTCCAAGTTCTCCGTGGTTGAAAACCTTCATTCAATTTAGTAAATTAAATGGCGTTTCGGGCTCCTAGCCCATCATCAGGAACTAAACATAGAGAAATATCATGGACTATGCCATGATACATATATATTATTTTTCCAGGTATAAATACTTTTATTTAAAAAATTGAAAATTAGTGATGGATTGGGAATTATACCATGAGATTTCTCTATTTTTAGTTTCTGATGATGGGCCAGGAGCCCGAAACGTCCATGTAATTTACTAAATTGAATAAATTTGTTCAACCACGGAGAACTTGGAATTTTTCAACCTATCAATAGAGAAACTTTTCTTTCCTCAAGCACACTCCTGACAGTATTCAATGCCGACTGATACTCCGATGGCCCTGATATCTCAATCTGACTGATTGCGAGTGAAAAACGAGTGCTTGAGTAATATTTATATCAGAGTATCATTACTGAGTAACTTATTGTATTTCTCAATTAAATTATATTTACTTGATGTAATTTAATTATACTTTTATGATTATCAAATTTTTTTAAAATTTGTATTAAATTACAATTAATTAAGGTTTTTAGTTGAGATGAAAAAAAGTAAATGGCACGAGCGGTTAATTAATTGTAATGTATTAATTGGTCAAGCGGACCACGAAATTAGTGAATTTAATGATTAAAATGAAGTATACTTCACTAAAGCTCTCCGTCGCCATTTCAATTGTCGTCGAGAATCCAAACCGATTACACGACATTTGAAAAATGGCAAAAAGGAGGGAAAACTCAAAAGGTGGGGTTGAGTTAGGAAGTTGATGTTCGAGCGGATCGAGGTCACGATAGCTCAAGTGGTAGAGCAGCGGCGTATCTAGCCGAAGATCGTGGGTTCGAATCCCGCTCATACCGTTAACTTTTTTTCATCTCAACCAAAAACCTTAATTAATTGTAATGTATTAATTGGTCAAGCGGACCACGAAATTAGTGAATTTGTATTAAAGTTGATTTTTCATGGATTATAAAGTTATTATTCTGAAGGTGGGAAATTTTGGTTCTTGACCTAAACTTCTTAATATTTTAAGGGTAATTTTTGTAACATAGGATAGAGTGAGAATTCCAGGGGGATGGGGAATATATGTAATTTTTGAACATTTGGAGAAAGTAAATTTTTAGTGGGAACCACGCTAAAAAAAAATTAGTTCAATGATACTACTTTCTTTTCTTAAGATCGTTTCTCTAGATTAGATTTTTGTGTCATTTTTATTTATCAAGGAGGCATTTAAGATTTCTATAACTTCTGTGATGAGGATGGCACGAGAGCTTGAAATTGATACACTTCTGTCTTCTAGATATAAAATTAACCAAAACTTGGCAGACCAGTCGACCGAAAAACTTTTTTGATTTTGGTCTTGATATTAAAGCAGGTGTACCCTGTGCACTACACAGAGAAATCTCATAATTTAAACTCAATTGTTTCAACTTGTTTTAAAATTTCCCCTTTTATCCGGCAAACTCTAGGCTAACATTATGTCCTCTCACGCTTCATTTAAGCATCGTCTGTTTTCATACTTGCATATGCTTCTGACTATTGCCATCCCAAGCTGAAGACAACCTCCAGACCGGCTGAGGGCAAAAATAAGTAAGTTGCCTTCTTTAAATTCAAAATAAGTTATCAATGTGCTACTTATCATACTTTTTTTCTAGATGTTTGTTAACCGAGTTGTGTATATTTCTCTGTCTAATTTTTGTTTTTATTCTAGGGCGTTACCAGTGTCCATTGTGTCCAAGGAGTTACAAGAGGAAGACCCACCTGTCACGCCACATAAGCCTGGAATGCGGGAAGGAGCCCAAGTTCGCCTGCACTTTCTGCCCTTACAAATCAAAGCAGAAAACGGCCCTTAAAACGCACATCGGCATCAAACATGGCGTCGGTATGGAATTTGTTCTGAAGAATCTTAAATAAATGAACAAAAAAAATGTTGAGTGTCTCGGTAGTTTCTGTCGTTTCCCAACCCTTGCTAATGATCTTTTGGTCTTTTTTTTCTTTTATAGCTAAAATGAGGTACGGTTGCCCGAATTGCTTCAGGTCGTACGAGCGGAAGGACCACCTGACCAGGCATGTGAACTTCGAGTGCGGAAAGGAGCCGAGATTCGCCTGCCAATTTTGCCCTTACAAGGCGAAGCAGAAATGCACCCTAAAATCTCACATCAGCCACAAACACGGTGTCAATATGGACTTTGTTCTTAAGAATCTTAATTAAATGGAAAAATTGTCAGGTGTCTCGGTTGTTTCTTTTCTTCCCCATTCCTGCCTAGTACCCCTAGGATAAATCAACTTGCTAACAGACTTCTGTTCTTTTTTTCTTTTATAGCCAAGGCGAGATATGCTTGCCCGAATTGCTTCAGGACGTACAAGCGGAAGGTTCATCTGCGCAGGCATTTGAATCTTGAGTGCGGAAAGGAGCCGAAATTCGCCTGCCAATTCTGTCCTTACAAGGCGAAACAGAAATGCACCCTCAAATCTCACGTTGCACTCAAACATGCACAAATTCTAAACTAGCATATTTACAGAGAATTTTTTTTTAACACTTTGTATTAAAAAAAATCATACAAATAAAACTTCATGTACTTAAAAATGCACTTTTTTTAAAAACAATTACTTGTCACAGTTTTGTCGATTGTGCCTGTTTTGACACTTTTTTCTTTTTTCTTTCAGGTAGGTACTGTTGTCCTCAGTGCACGAGGAGTTACAAGAGGAAAGATCACCTGACACGACATCTCAAACTCGAGTGCGGCAAAGAGCCTCAGTTCCCTTGCAAACTTTGCCCGTACAGAGCGAAGCACAAAAGCACCCTCAAGTCCCATATGGGTTTTAAACATTCTGAATTTTTTTTCGACATTCATCAACAATAGTTTTGAACTTTGTATGTTTAAAATAGATTTTTTTTAATACTGTTTGTTTATGTTCATAACCAAAGTCCTTAATTTGAAGGGAAAACTAGTGAAAAAGTTCCAATCCTTTTTCGTGTATTTCTTAGCCTTCAGTCTACTCCTTCATAATATCCCCGTTCAACTTATGAACTTGGTTACGTCCGTTCACCTGCAAATTTACTTCGACCCAAGTTAAACAGTCGATTCGGATTATTGTCCATCCTTTCATATTCATCTCGAGGCAGTAGTTGATTTCAACTAGCTATCTGTTTAGCGCAATCTTACCATATTTACTACTCTAATTAAACACTATCTACAACCTGACAATCATCTTCAAGATTAAGGTTCTTTCTTACATTCAATTCACTAATTTTGTGGTCCGCTTGACCAATTAATATATTACAATTAATTAAGGTTTTTAATTGAAATAAAAAAGTCAATGGCACAAGCGGGATTCGAACCCACGATCTTCAGCTAGATACGCTGCTGCTCTACCACTTGAGCTATCGTGACCTCGATCCACTCGGACACTAACTTCCCATCTCAACCCCACCTTTTTAATTTTCCCTCCTTTTTCCATTTTTTTTATGGAGGGAAAATTCAAAAGGTGCGGTTGAGATGGGAAGTTGGTGTCCTTCAGCAGTGTATCAAGCCGAAGATCGTGGGTTCAAATCCCGCTCGTGCCCTTGACTTTTTTATCTCAACTAAATACCTTAATTAATTGTAATATATTAATTGGTCAAGCGGACCACGAAATTAGTGAATTTAATGAAGTTAAATAAAGTATACTTCACTAAAGCTCTCTATGACCATTTTCATTTGTCGCTGAGAATCCAATCCGATTACATGACATTTGAAAAATGGCAAAAAGGAGGGAAAATTAAAAAGGTGGGGTTGAGATGGGAAGTTCGTGTCCGAGTGGATCGAGGTCACGATAGCTCAAGTGGTAGAGCAGTGGCGTATCTAGCCGAAGATCGTGGGTTCAAATCCCGCTTGTGCCATTGACTTTTTTATCTCACTAAAAACCTTAATTAATTGTTTTTTCTTACTTTTTTCCTCTTTGAAAAAGTAAACTGTCAAAAATAAAGTATATTGCTACCAGCCACAAACACCATATAGAAAATAAAACTTAACAATATAAGATAAATAATTTTATAGTAGATTTATGTTTTATTTTTTCTATCTGCACTTACCAAAAGACCATTTTCTTTTTTGTTAGTTTTCTCCAATTTTGGACTGAAAAAGAGAAGTGTGAAAGGGATTTTTTTTATGATACACATAAATTAATTTTTTTTTTTTTTAATTCTGTCGATATGTTCTGTTGTGATTTGCATTTTGTTTGTAATTGCAGCTACTGGAACTAATAAACAGTGAGAAATATTGACATTGTTTTTTTTTTCTTTTTCATTTATAGCTAGACACTTTTGCCAAAATTGCGACAGGAGCTACAAGAGGAAGTCACATCTGATGCAGCATCTCCGGTACGAATGCGGCAAACAGCCGGAACAGTCATGCAGCTTTTGCCCGTTCCAGTGCAAGAGGAAATCCAACCTGAAAACACATATAGCGCTAAAACACTATAAATACAACATACCGTAATTTAAAATCAGAGGGCTACAAAAAAAAAAAAGCCAAACGATCCAATCTCTGTTTAAATGTATATACTACGATTTAATTCCAGGTCATTTTACGGCGTCTACCCTAGTGGGGAAATAGCATCGGGCAAAGTCTAGATAAGGTACAACTTCTGCATTCTGATTTTATTTAATTTATTTTTTTCAAACAATATATATAACAATAAACAATATTTGTGAACTTTGTACTGTAAAATAGATTTTTTTTTTAAATCCTGTTTGTTTAAGTTCATAACCAAAGACCTTACTAGTACCGAGAAAGTTCTGATGCGATTTCAAGATGTTTTTCTTGGCCTGCAGTATATTCCTCACTCAACTGTTGACCTTCACCGTTGCCAAGTTGATTCAGAGTAGAGCGTCTTCATCTTTAAGCTGGGTTCGACTAGTTTATCGCAATCGTACTGCATTTACTAGTCTTAACTAAACACAATCTACGACCTGACAGTCATATTCAAGATTAATGTTCTTCCTTAACCTTTTCCCTCGTTGAAAAAGTAAACAGTGACAAAATAAAATGTACCACATAAAATTGGTGTTTTACAGACAGGAACAAAAATGCAAACATTGTTTTATTTTTTCTGACCAAAGCAATCAGTAGGCCATTTTTCATTTTTGTTAGGTTTCTTTCATTTAGGACTTGCATAAGAGAAGTTTGAGATTTTTTTTTAATTTCAATACTCATAATTAAACTTGACTTGGATTTCAATAATGCCTTTTGTCTTTTGCTGACTTTTTATTGATATTATCTTTTCTGTTGTAATTTGCGTTTCGCTTTCGATTGCAGCTACTGGAATCAATTCTAAACTGAGAATATTGACACTGTCCTTTTTTTTTCTTTTTCATTTACAGATAGACACTTTTGTCAAAATTGCAACAGGAGCTACAAGCAGAAGTATCATCTGACGCGGCATCTCCGATACGAATGCGGCAGAGAGCCGGAACAATCATGCAGCTTTTGTCCGTTCAAGTGCAAACGGAAATCTTCCCTGAAAGCACACATAGCGCTAAAACACTTTTTTGCCGATACGATCTAAAAACTATCCGATAAATCTTGCTTCCACGACATATAAAGCCAGATCTCATGAACATAAAAAAAGTCAAAAAGATTTTACCTAGTTTATATATGTTTATATTTAATTTAGTGTCGCGAGCGGGATTCGAACCCACGACCTTAACACGCCACTGCTCTAACTTGAGCTATCGTGACTTTGATCCATTCGGACACCAACTCCCATCTCAACCTAATTTTAAAAATGTTAATTAATTAAAAGGAGTAATTTGGTCAATCGGACCTGTAAAATGATCAAATTCTAGGATATTTCCTAACGTCTACCCCAGTGGGGAAACAGGTGCAACTTCTGCAAGGACAGGTGCAGAAGAAGATGACTATTGCCCTAGCCAGCCAGCGCTGCATCTTCTCCCGTTTTGAAAAACACCATAAAAACTCGGTCTGTCCCATATCGACCTAAGCTTATCAAATCTGACACGGTCTTTTTCATTCCAGGAAGACACCCGTGCACCAAATGCGGGAAAAGCTACAAGAAGAAGGGGCACCTCACTCAACACTTTAAATTCTGCGGAAAAGAGCCTCAGTTCCCGTGCAAACTTTGCCCGTACAGAGCAAAGCTCAAAAGCACGCTCAAGGCCCATATGGGTTTTAAGCATTCCGATTTTTTTTTCGACCTGTATCAACAATAGTTGTGAACTTTGTATGTTCAAAATAAATTTTTTTTTAAATACTATTTGTTTATGTTCATAACCCAAATCCTTAAAATGTGGTGAGACAGTTTTGATCTTATTTCAAGATGATTTTCTTAGCCTACAGTTCATAAAATCCTCTTACAGCTGTTGACTTTGGTTAGCTAGTCATTTCACCGGTAGTTACCAAGTTTAACTAGACCCAACTTTAGCTGTTGATTCAGAGTAATGGCCATCCTTTCATTTTCATTTTGAAGCAGTAGTTCATTTCAACTAGATACGTGTTTATCAACCAGACAGTCTGCAAGATTAAGGTTCTTTCTTACGTCTTTACTGTCTTTTGCTGATTTTTTGTTTTTACTTTCTGTTCTGTGTGATTGCAGCTACTGGAATCAATTCTACAGTGAGAATATTGACATGGTCCTTTTTTTTCTTTTTCGCTTACAGGTAGACACTATTGCCAAAATTGCAACAGGAGCTACAAGCAGAAGTATCATCTGACGCGGCATCTCCGATACGAATGCGGCAGAGAGCCGGAACAATCATGCAGCTTTTGCCCGTTCAAATGCAAGAGGAAAGCCTACCTGAAAATACACATAGCGCGAAAACACTTTTTCATTGATACGATCGAAACACTATCCGATGAAACACATTTCCATGACTTAAAATAAAATTAGAGAGCCCATGACCATAAAAAAAATTCTATCTTTGTTAATATGTGTATGTATAAACTACGATCGAATTCCAGGACATTTCCCAACGTCTACCCCTGTGGGGAAACAGGGCCGTAAGGTCCAGAGGAGGTGCAACTTCTGTCAGAAGAATAAAATCCGGAAGATGGTGACCAACTATTGCCCCGGATGCCCTAACCGTCCCGCCCTCTGCGTCTTCCCCTGTTTCGAAAAACACCATAAAAACTTGGTCTGTCCCTTATCGACTCGAACTTATCAAATTTGACATGGCTTTTCTTTTTCGTTTCAGGAAGACACCCGTGCACCAGATGCGGGAAAAGCTACAAACAGAAGGGGCACCTCACGCACCACATCAGATACGAGTGCGGCATCGAACCGCAGTACTGCTGTACAATCTGCCCACACAGAACAAAGCGCAAAGCCAACCTGAACATTCATATGAAAATAAAACATATGCACCTTTTTAAATAAGATTTATATTATGTAGATTTAAATTATATATTTGTTTTTATAATTAATAAATGTTTATAATTAATGCGTTTGTTTTTGACTCAAATAGAGAAAAATCGGTCTGTTTTGTTGATTAAAATTTGTGTAGTCTGATCATCTCCGATCATCCTGTCCTCAATGGTTTTAATCAAAGAAGACCCCTTGATTAAGTTGAAAGTAAATGAAATTCAGTCAAATTTTATGACCTCTGGATCTCATTTAATTTCATTTAACTGGTTTTGTTTGTCAGATGCATTTATATATTTAATCCTCTGTCAGATCTTCGTCTTTACGGGAGTTTGCAACAAAAGTATTTTGAATTTGAATTCATGGCAGTCAGATTTGAACCCACCTTGTCAACACTAACGATCGAGGTCACCCCCCGAATATATTATTTAAAGTGTACTTTTTAGGTCAGACCAGTAGCTACTTTGCAAAAATGACACATACAACTACATTTCTTGCAAATAAAAAAAAAGAAAATCTATCAGGTTCAAGACCTAATTGCTTATGTTGCCCTAATGATTTTGCATATTTTCAGGTAGACACCATTGTCCGAAATGCGAGAGGAGTTACAAGCACAAGTGCCACCTTTGGGAACATTTGAAATTCGAATGCGGGAAAGAGCCTCAGTTCATGTGCCAGTTGTGCCCTTTTAAAGCGAAACGAAAGCGAAACCTCAAGCTCCACGTGAGCACCAAGCACATGAACTTGAACAGGCTGTTCTAGCCGCGCCCGCCAGTCGATTCCTTCCACTCGTCTAATTCAAGCCGTTGTTTCAGTTCGGCACATGTGCAGCAGTTGTGGAAGAAGCTATAAACAAAAAAGCCACCTCAATAGTCACATGAGGTATGAGTGTGGGAAGACGCCGCGTTTCTTCTGCGAGCTCTGTTCCTACAAATGCAAGCAAAAGTCCGCCCTCAAAGCCCATTACGCTTCTCGTCATGCTATGTTGCCTGAAGCCACTAGTTTAAACATGAACACCCAAATATAAATTATTTAAATATAATTTTGAATTGTTTCATTCCCTTTATATTTCTTCTTACATCGAAAAAGATGCTATACTCTTAAAACACATATGAAGGACATAAAAAAATTTCTGTAGACTCGGTGTTTTTGATATATTATGAAGGCATCGTTTTGAAATATTTTTTAATTTTCAGGTCCATATAACTGCCCAAATTGTAGTTCTAGTTATATCTACAAAGGCAGTCTCAAGCAGCATATGAGGTATGACTGCGGGAAGCCGGCTAACTTCCAGTGCACCCTCTGCCAGTACAAGTCAAAAAGGAAGGGCAACTACCTGCGCCATCTCGTCACGCGTCACTCTGCCGACAGTTTCGAATCTCGTTTTTCAAACTAACCGTTCTCATTCGTTTAGGTTTCTACTGCAGTTGCGGGAAACTGTACAAATCGAAGGGGACGCTGAACCGCCACCGCAAGTACGAATGTGGCAAAGAGGCGCAGTTCTTCTGCGACCTGTGTAATTTCAAGGCAAAACGGAGAGACAACTACATACAACACAAAATAATGGTGCATTCTTTGAAAGATTGTCATTAAAAATATTTTGTCAACTCTGTACTTTCATGTTTTTACATGGCATTTTTTTTTCCATTGAAATAAACATTTTCTTCAAATGAGTGAAAAAGAAAAAGAAGTAATTCTACGTATAATATACTTTTTTCCCCCAATTTTCCTAGTATGAATTTTCAATCAATTTCAATTAAACTGAAAAAAATTAAATCTCTCAACAACTGACAATCTAGCAGTATTACATATTTACTTGTTTCTAGGATTCACTTGTAACTATTGCGGCTTGGTATGCAAGACAAATTACAGTTTTATACGTCACATCGCTTATTTCTGCAGAAAGAGGAAGCCGTACAAATGCAAAGTGTGTGGACGCAAATATCACCAGAAGCACACGTACCTCGCGCACCGAAGAAAAAAGTGTCACACAAAAGGTCTGCTTTATTTAATTTTATTTTAATAAACACAAATTTATGTTCTAAATTGATAACATACAATTATGTAGCTGAAAAACAGAGAAATATTACATTTGATTTACTTTTTTTAATTTTTTTTTAGAATCCAGACAAAATTGTAGGATTACAAGACAGAAGGCATGTTCTAGAAGGATTACAAGATCTTCAGCAAATGGCCTCCATTCAGATTTAAATTGTGCGACTTCAAATGGCAAAGCCTCTAATAAGACATCTAATGAATATATTCACGCAACTCTAAAAGGTATGGATCAGTTAATTAAAATTCACCTAAACTTAAATATTAATAATTCATATTTAATTGCTTCAAATTAGTTTTATTGATAAATCTCGAAAACGTGGCCTATTAAAAATATGCGATTTATTTTAGGTGCAGTGAAGGGTAAAAGAATCGTCATGATAAGACAGCAAAACGCATCAAAAAGGACTCCGCTATGAAAATCAGCCTTTATATAATTTATAATAGTAGTTAGCCAATTTTTACTTAACATCCATTTTTGTAGTTTTAAATTTTTATTGTAGTAACTTTTTTTAAAATCTAACTGTATGACGTCTTTCTGCATGACACATTTAATAAAATAAATATAATAATTTTCAACTTGTTTTGTTAATTACACAAAATTAACCTGGCAATATTGGTCCCTAAATTCATACATGTTTTTGGTTACCGTTCTCTGTCATTAGTAATTTACAAAATTAGCAGGCATCGGAGACAACTGATAGAGCGTCTGATTTATGGAGAAAAAACTTGGCAGAGGAATATAAGACTATGAATTACTGGGAACATTTCCGGCTGGTGCAGAGGAATGAGGCGAGCGAACGAAAATTATCGAATGACATTAATTTTCTTGTATTTTAAGTATTTTCTGAATTGTAAGAAAATTGAGTGTCTATTCATACCAGGATGAACATTAATTTATTTAATTACTATTTACTTTGCTGACAGTATGTACCAGGAATCAATATTGGCATTGTAAGTATTTTCAAAATGAGTGACGATATATACGTAGATTTAAGATAATTGACTGGTAGTCTAGGTCCTTCATAAATTACAAGAAAATCAGGTAACAGTAATACCAGGATTCAAGATAAATTTGTATTTTAAGGATTTTTGTAAAGTACTATTTACTTCGCTGACAATACTTACTATGATAATTACTTACTAATGATATTCTCAGTATTCTCAAAATGTGTGACAGCACATACCAAGATTTAAGGTAATTGACTGGTACACTTTTTGCAAAGGATAGTTATTTCTATTAATTAATAAATACCAGAATTCAAGGTAATTCACTGATGGTATTTTAGGTATTTCCTTGATGTTTCACAGTACACACAAAGATTTAAGGTAATTGACTGAAAGTTTAGATCCTTCATAAATTACAAGAAAATCAGGTGTCAGTAAAACCAGGATTCAAGATAATTTATTAATATTATAGGCATTTTTCTAAATTACTATTTATTTCGCTGACAATACTTACCAGGATTCAAGAATGTTATTCACAGTATTATTAAAATTTTTGATAGCATATACCAAGATTTAAGAATAATTGACAGGTACATTTTTGTGAAATTATTTCTATTAATTAATTAATACCAGAATTCAAAGTAATTCGCTGGTGTTATTCTAGGTATTTCCCCGATGTTTCGCAGTACATACCACGATTTAAGATAGTTGACTGGTAGTCTAGGTCCTTCATAAATTACAAGAAAATCAAGTCAGTAATACTGGGATTCAAAATAATTTATTAGTATTTTAAGCATTTTTCTAGAATACTATTTATTTTGCTCACAATACTTACCAGGATTCAAGAATGATATTCTCAAAATGTGTGATAGCACATACCAAGATTTAAGGTAATTGACTGGTAGTTTAGGTCCTTCATAACTTACAAGAAAATCGGGTGTCAGTAATACTGGGATTCAAAATAATTTATTAATATTTTAGGTATTTTTCTAAATTACTATTTATTTCGCTGACAATATTTACCAGGATTCAAGAATGATATTCTCAGTATTCTCAAAATGTCTGACAGCATATACCAAGATTTAAGAATAATTGACTGGTACATTGTTGTAAAAGATGGTTATTTCTATTACTTCATTAATACCAGAATTCAAGGTAATTCACTGGTGTTATTCTAGGTATTTCCCTGATGTTTTGCAGTTGCATACCACGGTATAAGCATTTTTCTAAAATACTATTTATTTTGCTCACAATACTTACCAGGATTCAAGAATGATATTCTCAAAATGTCTGACAGCATATACCAAGTTTTAAGATAATTCACTGGTACATTTTTGTGAAAGATGGTTATTTCTATTAATTAATTAATACCAGAATTCAAGGTAATTCACTGGTGTTATTCTAGGTATTTCTCCGATGTTTCGCAGTACATACTAAGATTTAAGATAATTGACTGGCAGTTTAGTTCCTTCATAAATTACAAGAAAATCAGGTGTCAGTAATACCAGGATTCAAGATAATTTATTGGTATTTTAGGAATTTTTCTAAAGAACTGTTTATTTCACTGACAATACTATGACGCGTTAGTGTGAATCTCCCTTCACACGATGCAAACTCGTTTCCTTGCGACTGTAAAATAAAAAAAAATATTTGTGCCACAAACTCAATTAAAATTAAACGGAAACGACAAAAATTGATCCAAACAAATTATAACAGCCTTCAAAAAAATAAATGTATTTAGATTTGAAAAAAATAAAAATATGTGATCTATGACATACGCACTCTCCTTGCCATTTACATAAAAAAGAGCAGGTGCCTTCAAGCAAAATTGAGAGAGAGTCCTTCCTCGTCCTTTCGTAGCTCAGCTTGCACTGCCCGATCCTGCTGTTGGGGATTAGCTTATCCTTTGAGATAAGCTTCTCATTTTTGAAAATATTGTTATAATACTTACCTGGATTCAAGATTGATATTCTCAGTATTCTCAAAATGAGTGACAATACACATACAATAATTATTTCAGATAATTGACTAGTAGTTTTTTTTTAATCAAAAATGGCTATTTCTATTAATTGGCTGGTATTCTTGGTCCTTCTTAAATTAAAGGAAAATCTGGTGACAATTACCAACTAGGATTCAAGATAATTCATTGGTAGGGATGTCTTGGTCCTTCATATTCCAGTAATAGTAATTATAATATTCAAGATATTTTACTAGTGGTCTCTAGTTATTTCTTAAATTAAAAGAAAATCAGGTGGTAGTAATTCCAGGATTCAAGATAATTTACCAGTATTTTAGGCATTTCCTGATTTACTATTTATTTTGCAGACAATAAATACCAAGATTCAAGAATAGTATTCTGGGTATTCTCAAATTGTCTGACAGCACATACCAATATTTATTTAACTGAATTAACCGGAAGTCGTAGTCCTTTTTTAATAATATACAACAAAATATGGTAGCAGTAATAGCAGGATTCAAAATAATTTATTGGTGATATTCTAGGTACTTCCTTGTTGGTTCTTCTTAAATTAAAAGGAAATGTAGTTACATAATAATAAATTGTGTTCTAATTTTTGGGATAAAGACTACAGTTCAGCAACAGCAAGTACTAGCTTTGCTTTACACCCAAATAACATACATATATCGTGACACAAAACATATAATACAGCATATAAAACAATCATCATATTCCACACATCAAACATTTCTACAGTCTAATTCTTTAATAATCATAATCAACAATAATCCTGAAAAGGTAATCAGGCCGAACCATTACCCATTTTTCCCATCTTTTCACCAAAAAAAAAAAAAAAAAAAAAAAAAAGACTCCTCGTATAAAAATGTCTTTCTATTCCCAACTTCCCTCCCCACCCCTTCAAAATCCAACGTAGGTAAACTTAAAACATCAATACCTCACTGGCACTCCCCACAGGAATGACATCTACTCAAAAAACAAACAGTTGAGTGAGTACTAATACTTTGATTGAATCTAAAATTTTCTAGCATTGTATAAATTCATTTTTTTATCTAACATTTTCTAGCATTGTATAAATTCACTTTTTTTTAATCTAAAATTTTCTAGCATTGTATAAATTCATTTTTTTATCTAAAATTTTCTAGCATTGTATAAATTCACTTTTTTTTAATCTAAAATTTTCTAGCATTGTATAAATTCACTTTTTTAATCTAAAATTTTCTAGCATTGTATACATTTTTATTTTTTTTTTTTCTCACTTCCTACATGTATTTGTAAAATTTAAACAATGTTTATAAATCCCAGGCCCTGAAGATGATATCAATAAAGATTGGAACGGCACGATAAAAAAAAATGTTTTTTTAAAACCTATGTCCCACCAAACATTTACACCCAAATTTTAAAACAAAACCGTGGTTTTGGAAGGAAGTGGGTAAAAGAAATTCTATTCCACTATTTTCAGTATGAAAACTAACCTTGGGGAGAGTTATCTGTATAGAATTAGAATAAGGACATCCCCGAACTGCCAAACATGCAAAAGTCCGTTAAATGCCGATTATATAATTCTAAAATGCCCTGAGTATAAAAACGAGAGGAAACAATTATTACTCTACTATATTCGGCTCAGTAAGTAAGCCTTGAAACGCTGTTGGCAAGTAACATGATGGTTTTAAATTTCTTAAATAATTTACATTTCTTTCTAAGATAATATAGAAACACTGGGCTATCAGACAGTGACGGGGGTGTTGGCTGGCCTGGAGTGCTCTGGGTCCGCTCTGGACGGGGTAGAATGGTTGGAGCGAAACCCCATCATGAGGGAACTGGCGCAAATCCCTCACAAAAGACGGAGAAAATTATAAGGCAACACCTCCCAGATTCTGCCGGTGTGGAGCTCCAGGAAAAAACTGACCTGCTAAAAACTATTACCTACTAAAATAATAATCAATAAATTTAAAAAAATCATATGGCAATATTTCGAAAGGAAAAAGCCAGAAGAAATAAATAAATTTATATTTTGGATATTTCTTAAATGGCAACAGCACATACCAAAATTTAAGATAATCGACTAGTAGTCTTGGTCCTTTTTAAATTTCATTAATATATAACATACCTTTTACAAAATATTGGATGATAGTAAAAAAAAAAACATACTTACCAAGATTTAAGATAAATGACTGGTAGTCTTGGTCCTTCTTAAAGGAAAATCAGATGACAGTAATAAGAGGATTCGAGGATAATTTTCTGGAGGTATTTCCTAAATACTTCACCTTACCAAGATTTAAGATAATTGATTGGTAGTTTTAGCTCTTCTTAACCCTCCATCGGGCGCACCTCTGAATGAAACAAAACCAGGCGCACCGGCCTGAGAGGCCACCTACTTATTTTACCCTCCCCTTCCCCTCTAATCAATTTAATCCAAAACACAGTTAAGGTAGCCTTTGCTTGGATTTACAGAAATCAAATACACCAAATTGGATGGAAACAAACCAGTTTATTGAATATAATAAAGCTTAAACTAAAACAACCAAAATTGTGAATTTTGTACAAGTTTTCAAAAATTAATCAAACCAAGTATCATAATAGTAAAAAAATACTGGAAAAAATGTATACAGTCTGATGTGGCGCAACGATTCTTTGCAGCTGAATAACAGGTTTGGCACAGTGGATTTACGTGGCTAAGGCAGATCGGTTGATGACAATTTTTACATTTGTAATTTGTCATCCTTCTAAATCCTTTTTCAGCCATGCACATGCCACATTTGCGTCTTTTCGGAGGTAAGGTGGGCGAATTTTCAGGTTTTTCTTGTAAAAACCTTTTCAAGCGGGATTGTAGGTGAGTCGGCATTCCACTTGTATTTAGACTTCGTCGGGCTAGTCGTCCAATTATAAGTTGACGAGACAGTTTTGAGGAAGATTCTCCTTTTTAGCGGTTCCAGTTTATTCGCAAGCGAAATCACTTGAGAATTTATGCCGGCTACGTTCAGACAGGCAAAGATGACCATCGGTCAGCGTCTTGTGTTCCGGCTCACACTGAACGTTGCACACATATGATCAGCAGTGTCAACTCCACCTTTGGTGGTATTGTAAAACGTATCACTTCTGGCTTTTGCTGCTCTCTGGTATTTTGATCAATGGCATTAGTTTCGTGGAGTGATGAAACGAGAATCACATTTTTCCCTTTCTTTGGAATGTATGAAACCAAAGTGTTACCGTTGTTGAAGCCGAACAAGCTGCTGTGTTGAGCCCTCCTTCTGATATTGACAAAATTGTCTGGTATCTGTCTTTTATTTTATTTAATTGTCCCAACATAAGAAAGCCTTTTTTTTTTTTCAAATCATTAATGAGATCTATGTCTGTGAACCAATTATCAGTGGTTATGTTGCGCCCTGTCTCAAAAAGGGGTGCGGCGATTCGTTTCACCACTTCACTTGGCTTGTTCTAACACAAAATGGCCCTTCAGGCTGTTTTCCTGCGAATATCTCCATGTTGTAGGTGTATATCATTTTGGCATCAACAAGGGCAAATACCTTTACCATATTTGTTGAGTTTGGAGGGAATGTATCGTCTGAATGCACACCTCCCACAGAACCCTGGCAGCATCTCATCAATTGTAACATTTTCTCCGGGGAGGTAGTTTTTTTGGCAGTTTTGAACAAAACAATCGAACATTTCATGAATTGGGCAAAGTCGATCATATTCTTTCCATTGTGCTCGGCTTGTACGATCGTCAAAAACGAATATGAGGAACTTGTATCTTTTTAGGCTCATCACCAGGCCAAATTTCTCAACCCCATCTCCTTCTGGCCCCATAGCTCCTCCAGACTCTGACGATTTCCTCTGTATGCTCCAGCAAGGTATAATAAACCAATGAATGCCTTGATTTCAATGATGCCTGTTTCCTTGGCATCCCTCTCTCTGGCAAATTTGGATTTGACTGAATCTATTGATTGGTATATTTTACAATCAATTCCAAAATTTCTGTAGTGAACAAACATTCTCAACCGTCTTGGCCTTTCATGTACCACACCATTCGGCGCTTTACAGTTTGGTGGCTGATTTTTATGTTCACTGCTTTTTTATTTATGACGGAAGCATTTTATATGCGTGTATAGGACGGTCGCATCTCTCTCACTCCTGGCGAGCTCTTGATTGGTATCCAGGATGGGCGTCACGGAGGCGGCTCGCTCGGGATATCAGGCCTTGTTATTGTTTTGCATAATGAATGTCGATTCTATCTCAGTCTTTAAAAAATAAGGGGATCTGATTTATATTTAGGCTGCCATCCTTTCTGCCTCATGATGGCTTTCCAGAATTTTTCCACTGCCTTGTAACCGGCTGGGATTGATATCACACGGCGCACGGTGTCCATGGTAGCATATTGAACATCGATTTCATAGATCCATCTCATCCGTGGGACTGTGTACATTTCACACTCTATGACCAGATGTTCAACCGTCTCCGGCATGCCGCACTCGCACAAAGGACTATCTCTTAGCCCAAAACCGTGAAGTTTGGCCGAGAAGTCCCCGTGCCCAGTCAGCAGCTGGGACATGTAATGGTCCGTCTTAAGATGGGTCATGCCCATGCGACTCTCCATACTGCTAAGTAGCCAGTATGTGTGTCTTCCTTTCGTTGACGTTTCCCATCATCGTTGCCATTCGTTCGTTACCCATAAAGCAGCTTCTTCTTTCGACTGGACCGGTATGCATGGCTGGTAACCGTTGGACAGTTCCCAAGCGGCACACGCTGCTTTCGCCTGCAGGTCCAGCAAGGCCGCTCGCTGAGCATTGCAAAGCTTCACCCAATTGGCTCTTTTTAGACTTCTTGCCCACGCGGGAGCGGCGTAAAGTAGGACCGATTGGCATAAAGCCGAGTAGTACGTCTGCCTCGTCTTCCAACTTAAGCCCCACGCTGCTCCACTCATGGCCCTAATTGCCGCAATCCGTGCCGGAAACATTCCCAACATTGCAATATTGTTTTTGCATTTCCAGCATCTCACATTGCTCTACTTCGTCCAGAGAATCTATATCGCTTTCTTCGCCAAAATCCTCAACCAGCGCTGGATCATCAGAAGCATCATCCTCGAGGAGTTTTCTAATTTCGGCAACATCATTAGGGGTGGAAAAATCATACATTTTTTTGTCCATTTCAGCAGGAAATCTAGAATAAAAGTCAGGAAAACTGAATTGAAAAGTAAAATGAACGATTACAACAAAAATGTAGTGAAAAAACTTATCTTTTAATTTATGACGCAGTCGGCTCGACAAGCCAGGATGGGTCTAGGCTAGCAGAGTGAAGGTTGACGACAGAATGAATTAGGGATTCCTATGCACCACCCCTAAATAGGAAATTACTAGGAGGGGCGCCAGGTAAAAGAATGGCAGGCAAAAAGGTGTTTAGCTGATCTCTCAGGTCAGCTGCGCCAGATGAAGGATTAAAGGAAAATCAGATGACAGTAATAAAAAGATTCGAGGATAATTTTCTGGTGGTATTCTAGGTATTTCCTAAATTGTTCATAGTACATACCAAGATTTAAGAAAATTGACTGGTTGGTAATCTTGACCTTGTACCTGTATTACTGGTAGTATTCTAGGTATTTCCTGAATGGTTCACAGTTTTTACCAAGTTCACTAGTTTCGTGGTCCGCTTGACCAATTAAATCTTACAATTAATTAAGGTTTTTAGTTGAGATAAAAAAGTCAATGGCACGAGCGGGATTCGAACCCACAATCTTCGGCTAGATACGCCGCTGCTCTACCACTTGAGCTATTGTGACCTCGATCCACTCTGACACCAACTTCCTATCTCATCCCGACCTTTTGAATTGTCCCTCCTTTTTGCCATTTTTCAAATGTCGTGTAATCGGATTGGTTTCTCGACAACAAATGAAATGGCCACGGAGAGCTTTAGTGAAGTATACTTCATTTTAAACATACTAAATTCACTAGTTTCGTGGTCCGCTTGACCAATTAATATCTTACAATTAATTAAGGTTTTTAGTTGAGATAAAAAAGTCAATGGCACGAGCGGGGAAAATGGCAAAAAGGAGGGAAAACTCAAAAGGTGGGGTTGAGATAGGAAGTAGGTGAGTGGATCGAGGTCACGATATCTCAAGTGGTATAGCAGCGGCGTATCAAGCCGAAGATTGTGGGTTCGAATCTCGCTCGTGCCATTGACTTTTTTATCTCAACTGAAAACCTTAATTGTTTTACCAAGATTTAAGATAATAGATGGTAGTCTTAGTACTTTTTAAATGTCAATTAAATATGAGCTGCCTACCGACAGAAAAATTCATGTAATTGATTGGTATCATAAATCATTTCTCAATTATGAAATACTGGATGATAGTTTACTATCTTAACTTACCAAGATTAGATTTAAGATTCAGTCTTGGTTTTAAATTACAAAAAAAAACGGTTCATAATTGGCCACTGATAGAAGTCATTAACAACTGAATAAAATTATATTTTTTAGTTTTCATTGTTAAATATTCAAATTAGCTTTGTCGTGAGGCATAGTCCCTCGCATTCTCGACTCGCGAGACTTTTTAAAACTAACGTATTTACTTGTTACCAGGATTCATTTGCAACGTTTGCTCCATGGGGTACAAATCCGAAAGCAGTCTCAAGAGCCACAAGAGGTACGAATGCGGGAAGATGGCTCAGTTTAAATGCGACTTATGCAACTTCAAGACAAAGCGCAAGTACAATTACAACCGGCACAGAGTTATCGTACATGCGCTACCCATGAGCGATTTCATCCGAACTGAGAGCTTTAATTAATAAATACAAAGATGTACATCAAATCTGACTCAAACTTGAAGGATACTGTTTATTTTATTCATAAAATAAAAAACGTTATATTTTTGTTTTAATAAAAATGTATGAGGTCTAGGGTAGGATTTTTTTTTTTCATTTAAGCAAGCCTCATCGTACAGACAAGTATAAAACGGATTCATCTCGGTCTTTAGTTTACCGTCCCGGACTCCTCGCCATCTAATAGTTGACCAATTCCTGTTCTAGGTCGGGTGACTTGCAAGGACTGCGGCCGAAGTTACAAGCACAGCTGGCACCTTACCAGCCACATCAAATACGAATGTGGTAAAAATTCTAAGTACGCGTGTAAAGTGTGCGATTATAAAACTTTCCGCATCAGCGACATCAAAAGGCACTGTTTAAGAAAGCACGACAGCCGTAATTAAAGCCTAGTCAAATATTTTTAACGTCGAGAGAGGAGGAAAAGTGGAAAGTGTTTTAATTTCAGAGTCCAGATGAAAATTTACGCTTAAAATTTACTATTTATATTTATTAAATAAATACTGTACTAGTCGATTTGTTTTTCATTTAAAACTTTTTCTTGCCCAAACCGTAATTTTTTTACAAGTTGAAACACCGTTGGCGAACCGTGTTGAAAATGATTTATCAGCGTCAATCTAAATAATACGGATAAAATCGTTAAAAACTCGGACGATCAGGAGAATAATTTGAATCTAATATTATATTTTTACAGGTTTTTACAGTTGCAGCAGGTGCTTGAAAATGTACAAGAATAAGTGTACGCTTGCAAGGCATCTCAGGTACGAGTGCGGCACCTTACCGCAGTTCCTATGCCAGTTCTGCCCCTACAGCGCCAAGCGGAAGGCCCACCTGCTCACCCACTGCGCCATCAAGCACACCGGAATCGTGTTTAACAGCCTTCTCTTCCACGAAGAGACAAAACGAGAAAACATCGAAAGATACGACGTGGCAAATAAATAGAAAAAAAGTTTTCCCAAGTTTGATACTTTTTTCAGGTCTAGAAAACTGTGACGTGTTTGACAAAGCTTTAAGTCTAATATTAAAATTTACAAGTTCAACTTCAAAGTGTTATCTGAACAAACTTATACTCAAGTAATATTGTTAAAAATTATTTATTGTAGTTTGTTTTTAATAAACAAATTTATCAGTGTTTTTCTTTGTCTATTTTTCATATAAATTTAAGGATTTACTAAGAATTAGTTTAGTTTGGTATTTTCTGGTCATCAGGCATATTAATGAAAATGACCGAACTAAGGGTTCATCATACTGATCATGGATAAAGCTCGCAATAAGAAAAATTTCCAAGAATAAAAACACATTTGCTGGCAAGCATGTCCTTAAGTTGAAAATTTAAGCATGTCCAAAAAAAGATGTTTCAAGGTAGGCGAAAAATCCAAACTAGGCCATAGTCAAACATCAGACTGGCATTTAAGGAAATTATAGTAATAAATACATGAAAAAATTTGCATGTCGTGAGAGTTGTAGCAGAAGGAAGTAAAATAAAAAATCTGACGCCAATTAAAATAAGATCAAAATCAAGGTAAGAATAAATTTAAATTGTATATCCGTACTTTTTATAAATGGTATCCTCATGTCTACAGTGGTCATTTTTATATTCACATACAAATAACAGAAAATGCAGGGGTGCCATATTTTTTTGACACCCCTGCTATACTGTATTTCAAACATCCATTGTATATAGATTTAAGTTTGAGGACTTATCGGGGATGCTGAGGAATGCGGATGGCAAATGATCCTGAAATGTATAAAATAAAAAATTATTTATGCCATAGAGCTTCAGCTTAATTTTTTTATCCACTAACCACCTAAATAAAATTTCTCAGGTGTACTAGATTTGCATATTATGAAAACTGATGTCTGTGTAAATTTTTCCTAAGTCTGAACAAATTTGACATTTTCACCAAAATCGAAGTCAACGCAGTATGGAGCTGGCCACTTGGGACCTTTTTAAAAAAAATTTCTCCTCTGCAGAAAGGCACTTAAACCATGATAATACCGTAATATCCGCAACTCTGATTATTTCCAAATTCACTAAACCTTTCTCACAGATGGCAACTTGTACAATATACCTGACAGACCATCCAAAAATGGATGGATTTTCATCCAAATTCGTATAGCTTTAGTCTGAAGTAGCTGAACATCCAGCTTGAGCAGTTCTTTTTAATTAACTTTTAAATTTAATATATAACATTTAACACACCTAGCAGTTTTTTTTTTTTAATTTTAGGCACTTCAGTTTATTGGGGGCATTGTAAGGCAATAATTTAGCTGGAGCCAATAATTTTCTAAAAAGTGTCAAGATGGAAAAAAGAAGGGAGAGGAAGCTACGACAAAGTATCTTGTATATGCATGGATATAGTCTCGATCTTGTAAAAAATAAATGGATGTAATTCCAGCCTATTGTCAAAATTACCCACTTATTTAATAGTTGTAAAATTTGTTTTATTATTGAAAATATCTTTTATTTATGACTGTTATTGTATTCAACCATGTTGGATTGTGGGATGTGCAGTCATACAGAAAACAAGCGTAATGCTCAATTCTTTAATATGCCAACGTTTCAAATAGTTTTCATTCTTTTTCAAGGCAACACTGGAATAAAGGTAGAGCCACTTTTGTTCACTTTTTTTCCGGGTGTTAGCATTAAAATCGTAGCCATAGATTCGTTTCAAAGTGGCAGTTCTTCAATTCTTTTTTTTTTTTAAGAATTTGAAATTTTAATGCTAACACCAGAAAAAAGTAGCTCTACCTTTATTCCAGCATTGCCTTGAAAAATAATAAAAACTAATCGAAACGTTGGCAAATTAAAAAATTGAGCACTACACTTGTTTTCTGTATGACTGCACATCCCATAACCCAACATCATTATTAAAAATTATTTTCAATTAATTAATCTTCAAGGTATTGATTGAGAGAAAAAGTCTTGTTCAAACTCACGACCTTCAGCTAAATACGCCGCTGCTCTACCACTTGAGCTATTTTGACTTCGATCCACTTGGACACCAACTTCCCATTAAAACCCATTTTCACCCCTCCTTTTTGCCATTTTTCAAGTTGGTGTCCGAGTGGATCGAAGTCACGATAGCTCAAGTGGTAGAGCAGCAGCATATTTGGGCGAAGGTCGTGAGTTCGAATCCCGCTCGTGACACTGAATTTTTTTCTCAACCAATACCTCACTTAAAGATTAATAATTGAAAAGACTTTATTTGGTCAATCAGACCACAAAACCTAATGGATTATTGAAAATATTATCTTACCTTTAGTTAATTTTTTCTCAAAAAATTCTTGTACCCTGCCTGACAATTTGAGGCAATTAGTTTCAAAACCAACTCAATCCGTTTTCTTAATTTTTACAGGAGAAACAAAAATCATTTTAAGCCTTACATTGTGGTTTAATTTTTTATTTACTTTGGGAGGGGGTGAAAGAGTCTCCAAAGATTTGAGGCAAAATTTTCAAAATTGTACTCTTTTTCATAAACCGGTTTTGAAGCAATCTATTTAGCTAGTCAATTATTTTAATGTAATAAGTCGAAGTTACCCTCAACTTATTGGTCCAAATCCCGCCATTTTTTTTTTTTTTTTTGTTGTAAATCAAGTTAAAAAAGTCTTGAAAAAAGTGGACTGCCTAGATTATTTTTATTTATGAGGGACTGCAACAGCAGAGGTTCTACCCTCGGGGTGGTGTTTAATAACAATAAAAAAAAATTTAAAAATTGTATGTTGGGTTCAAACCCTAAGACCTTTACTTTATGTAATGAGCACCATATCCATGCCTTAACCTTAACCTGGTGCAGCCAGTCGAGAACTTTTGAAAACAAAAAAAAATTGTCAAAAATATGAACTGGTTTTGGAACTGGCCTCATTTATTTATATATCTGTTGATCTTTCGGATTTTTTTCAACATATGTACATTATTCTAAATTTATAATTAGTTTTTATTTTTTTGAATAGACCAATAATTATAGCAAGGTTCACCAAATTTCTTTTTTTATTTTAAATGTAATTCGAATGATTACTTGGAGATCGTGAGATGCGGTCTGGTGTGACGTAGGTTTTAGAAAAACAATTTCTTTATAGTGCCAACGTTTCCATATTTATAGAGATCATCTTCAGGGCTCAAAGTGTTTGTTTTCCGTGTAGATGTCATTCTTGTCTATCGTGTTGAGAGGGCACCAACATCTATCACAGAAAACAAACACTTTGAGCCCTGAAGATGATCTCAATAAAGATCGAAACGGCACGATAAAGAAAATGTTTTTCTAAAACCTACGTCAAACCAGCCCACATCTCACGATTTATGTATAATTATTGACTAACCGTCACTAAACACCACATATGTAATGAGAATGTTCTATTTCTTACCTGTTAAAAAATATATGTATCGTCAAACTGTTCTGAATTGAATGTACTTTGTAAATTTTATTATAAAAAAAAAATTCTGGTTCAACTATTTTTCTTCACATTCTTCCTCTGATTTTTTAGTCATCAGAATAAGCTAGTGAAATGCAAGCAACTGAACTGCAGCCCCAAATTGATCAAGATACTTATTTTTTTGTGCTGTTGAGATTTGCACATTAGCCATGTTTTGTGGTGATGCGGAGAATTAGGAGAGCAGGACCAGAGGCCGCCATCATCAGGATACTTACTACAGGAACAGTTCAAATTTTATTATGCATATAACATTTTTATATTTGAAGTTAAAAAAAAAAAAAATAGCCACTCATATTTTGTTGTTTACTTCAAACTTTCAAAGTAATTTATAATTGTTTCTTTTTTTTACGTAGTTTGTTTAGGCAAAAAAAATACGTATATACAATATGTTGTTTGTCTTAGCTTACCAAAGAGCAATTATTCAAAGTGATTTATAATGTTTTATGTAGTGTGGTTAAAACAAAAATATTAGTGCCATGAGGAGGATTCGAACCCACGACCTTCAGCTAAATACGCCGCTGCTCTAACCACTTGAGCTATTACCTAGTTTTGCTTTTAATAATGCACATTCCTATGGTCTCAAAGAGGGCGTTAAGTCTCCTAAGCATCAAGCAATCTAAGCAGAACCCCACTCTTCAACAAGAACGGTTTGAACCTGTTCAATGCTCGTGAGGTGGCACACAATTTATAATCCGGCTTTATCACGCCCTGTAAGTGTTCTACAGAATTCATTAACACGTAAGTCCATTTAGTGTTCAGTATGAACATAGACGATTCTAATCATGCCATAACTGTCTTATGTCTGGAAAGCAAGCAAAGCGTCCTGTCACACTCTTGTTGCTACAAACAAAACAGTGCTCGTTTGTGAAGAGAACAGCCCCCATTTTTCAAGTGTCCAAGATGTAGATTTGCAAAGCCTTTTTACTCGATACCTCTTCAGTAGAAGAGAACCTGATGTGGAACGTTTAAAGATTAAGCTTGAAATTTTATAGCTCACCCTTACCTTATGGACTGAACCTACCAAAGAAGCAATTCAGTAAGTTTTGTAATGCAGTAAAAGCAGTATGATCATCTCTAGCCATCATACATTGTAGACCACTGTGGATGGTAAAGTGAAGCACACCCATAATTTTGGCTATGTAGCATCAGTCATGTGCCAGCAAGACTCAAAACCATGCATTTAAGAAATAAAAAAATTAATAATTGTTTTAATCAAAGAAAAGAATTTAAGACTAATTACCTTTTTTTTGTATTTACCCTTTCCACTACCTGAGGAAGACCCGATACCGGCGGACAAACGCTTTAGCTTAATCGAATTTGTATATCTAAGGGATTTCAAATAAATGGGATAAAAATACCTCCCAACGATCTTTCCTTCAGGCGAGACCGCTGGTCGGTTTTTGAAGGGACCATATTTTCATTTTAGAACCTAAAACAAAAGCACATTTACTTTTCCTTGGTTTTATTTTCTATCTATTTATATTATCTAAAATTTTCTTTCTAAGAAGAGGAAAACAGCCCGGAACCCTAAACCTATGTTTAATTATGCAATAAATAAATAAATAACGGTAATAAAACAATATTTAGGCCTTAATAATTAGAATAAATAGGGACTTGTTCATTTAAGCGAATTTGAGGCAGTCTTTTAGTGCTCCAAAAGATTTGATATCGCAGACTAGCTTTTGGAAATTAGGCGGCCATTCTGCTGAGGTGATGGTCTTTCGCAAACGTTCTCTTTCTGCCTTGAATTTGATACAGCTGAAGAGTTTATGTTTGGCGTCTTCTTCAGTGCTGCAAACGGAGCATAAAGGGCTTTCTCTTTTCTTATATTTATGAAGATAGTTTCCATGTCCTGATAGCATTTGAGTGGTCCAGTAGTCGGGGTGTAGTCATTTTGCTTTTTGTCTTTTTTCAACGCTTGGGAAAAATTTGGATATTAGCCGACCTTTATTGCTATTTGTCCATCTTTCTTGCCATGATGCCCTTGACATTTTCCCCAAGTACTCTCTTGCCTCCTTCACCGTTGTGCTTCGGAACCGGTCTATTTCTCCTTGGCTTGCTCCTACATCAATAGCCTCATTTTTCTTTTTTTGGTGGATGACCACCCTTTCTTTAAGGACTAGGTCTATTGGCGGTGCGTTGGCTATTACTTGTAGGGCATGTGTTGAAATCGTCCTGTACCCTTTTGTGGTTCTTATAAGAGCTATTTGTTGGCTTTGCTCTATTATAGCTTTGCTAGACTAATTACCAGTTTGGTTCAAATCAACCGCAGTAGAAATCTGTTTATCTGGACTGGAAGGGACCGGTTCTTATCTGGAGATCAAAAGTCCAGATAATCCGAAAATTTGTGATTTTATGACTATCGTCATAAAAACGGAAAAAATCACAAAAGTGAACACTTATTTGTGTATCAAGTAGCTTTTAAAGTAATAGATAGTACAACTAATTAAGGTTTTTATCTCAACTAAAAACTTAATTATTTGTAATAAATTAATTGGTCAAGCGGACCACGAAATTAGTGAATTTAATGATTTAAAATGAAGTATACTTCACTAAAGCTCTCCGTCGCCATTTCAATTGTCGTCGAGAATCCAAACCGATTATACGACATTTGAAAAATGGCAAAAAGGAGGGAAAATTCAAAAGGTGCAGTTGAGATGGGAAGTTGGTGTCCGAGTGGATCGAGGTCACGATAGCTCAAGTGGTAGAGCAGCGGCGTATCTAGCCGAAGATCGTGGGTTCGAATCCCGCTCGTGCCATTGACTTTTTTATCTCAACTAAAAACCTTAATTAATTGGTCAAGCGGACCACAAAATTAGTGAATGTAATACATAGTTTTTATTAGTTTTATTTTTGTTTTAGTCCAGACGCATTTCTCGAAAAATTTATACGTAAAAAATACCTAATAAAAATACACATATAAAAAAAAAGTTTCAATGGAAGCCAACATACAAACGACATGAGATAATTTCTAGTCTTTTAAAATAGCGAACACCTTTAATTTTTCTTTTGAACAAAAACTCTCCTGCCTCTTTGAACATGCGACTAGTGGAAGGGCGATTTGGTAGCCTTTACGAATTTCAAACGATGAATAAAAGTCCCATAGTTGAAGTTTTTAAAATTAATATACATACATTGAGAATTATGAAAAATTTATTTACAAAATGTGTGGTGTTTAGTGACCGTTAATTAATGATTATTTGGAGATCGTGGGACTAAACCACTATAAACTACGATACCAGACTGCATCTCACGCTCTTCAAATAATTTATAAAAAAATATTTTAAAACACTGTACTGATCTGTACCCAGCTGTTATGGAAAATAAACAAATAAATAAAAGTGGCTATTTTCCTTCTTTCTTTTAGCATATTTTATATTTACTTTACGTACCTATTTTTTCTACATATAGACAATTCTAATAAGTGGACAAAATCACACTCCTGAATAGTGCTCACTTATGGGAAATTCGATTGTATACTATGTAATGTGATTTTTTTTTTAACACTATGTATTTAATATTCTGATTAAATTTTAATAGTATAAATAAATAATTTATTGTCCAAACCACCTTTTTTCCTTATTCCAATATTTTTGAATATTTATTTGTCTGGTGGAAATATGTCGTTCCTGTAGTCGTATCTATTTTGATCAATTTTCTCATTAAACTGATAGTTTTATGAAGAAAAATCCTGTAAAAATTCATGCAAATATTCACATAAATTCAACGTGCTATCGTTTGTGGAAAATAATTAACAATTTTTTTTTTAATTCACTGCAAACATACTTGAACTCACTGCATTTCCTAATTGGCATAGTCAAATCATGCACCTGGTTAGTTTGGAATTTTTTTTTCTCAATATATTCCATTATCTAAAAATTTTCAAATTGTTATTAATGCATAAAAAAATGCATTTTTAAAATTCTTACTTGGCTAGAATGAAAAAGCATAACTCGAGCCAGTTTTCCTTTTGCATACTTCTCAGCACCTTTGTTCTGTTTTCAGCACGTTAAACCAATTGGTAAAATTTTTCAACCTTTTCCTTTTGTTTCAGTATTTTGTAATGTTCACTGCTCATTTATAAACAAGAATGATCATGACGATTTTAACTTTTTTAAAAATAAATTTGTCTTGCATTCCAGGCTGTCATGATAAACAAAAATTTGAAGGCTCCGTGTTTTACATAAATCGGCCGAATTTGATCACCTGTTTGATGAAAATTTGAATGAAACATTCATTGTCCAAAATTAAATTAAATTCATACTTTACCATTGGAACTGTTGGTTGGAATTTTTTTTTTTCTCATTACAAATATCTCATCAGTTTACCAAATTTTGGTAAAATTTTTCAACTTTTTCCTTTCAGTAATTACTTTTCCCATTTATAATCTTTGTAAATTATTTTTCCTCTTGTTTCAGTATTTTGTAATGTTCACTGCTCATTTATAAACGAGAATGATCATGACGATTTTAACTTTTTTTTAAAATAAATTTGTCTTACATTTCAGGCTGTCATGATGACGAACAAAAATTTGAAGGCTCCGCGTTTTACATAAATCGGCCAAATTTGATCACCTGTTTGATGAAAATTTGAATGAAACATTCATTGTACAAAATTAAATTAAATTCATACTTTACCATTGGTACTGTTGGTTCGAATTTGTATTTTTTCTCGTTCCAAATATCCCATCGGTTTACCAATTTTAAGATTTTATGCAGTTCGAAATGAAAGAAAAACCGCACAGAATAATGCGTTGCACCATACTTTTCATAAAATATTTAAAACTATAAAAGTCCGATACATTACCTTTGCATCATGTGCTCGATTTATTGAGCCAAGAAAATTCCTTGACTAATTTTTTTTTTTTTTTTGTGATATAGTCCAAGAGGAAAATACATACCTGATGTTGTTTGAAAAAGATACATATTGTACGATGAAGAATAAATATTTTTAAACAAATTACCTGTTCAGCTTTTTTTAACATTTTAATAATAAAAATTAAACATAAAATAAACTTTAAAAAATGAATATACATATACCTACCAATTTTATGTAGTGTTTTCTTCTCTGCTGTTATTCGGTTGGTTGAACCATTGCCTTGCAATTTTATTTTCTTGGTGCATCGCCTTTGTCAAAATGCTGCGCATAATAAAAATATTAATTAGAATATATATTTTCAACTTTTAAGCTATATTACAACTGACCTTTTTATGATTAGCGTCGATCGGGTTGATTACAAAGCTGAATGTTTCAAGCCTTCTGAAACGTAATCTTGATAATATAAAATTTCTTCTGTCATGTAGCATGCATCTAAATCTTAATGTTATTAACTTTTACTTACCTTATGATCAAATATTACCGTTTACAGGAGGGAAAAAAAATACAAAGAAAAATTGGTAAAGATTAACTTTTTTTTTAAATCGCGGATTAAGGAACGCGTCCAGGCGGTTAGTGTTGTCAAGTGTTGTTATGTCAAAACAAAAAGCCCATCACCAAAAAGGCCTACCGTGCAGGTGCAGATCAAAACTAAAGAGTGAGGGAGAAGGCTGAGGCGAGCCCTTACCTGTCTCTCCCACTCGGGCCGATGCTGATGAACAGCATCGGCCATAAAGTTAAAAATAAAATGCTTACCTCCTGAATTCTGTTTATCGTTGTCTGTAGTCTCCTCGTTGATTTCTAAAAAATATAAAATAAAAAAGTAAGTAAAGCCTTGATGAGAATTAAATTGTTTTATTTACCGCTTGCTTTGCTGACAGTGGTGTTTAGAGCCGTGGTGTTTCCAGGTGAAACAAGATCATCGTCGTCGTCATCAATGGTCAGATCGTCAACGTCTTCAGGTTCGATATCATCGGCTGTCAAGTCAGTGGTCGTGGGCTTGGTAGAGATGGGGGAAATTTCCGGTCTCGGCGTATCATTCGCCGAAGAGAGGATAGGCGTGAGCGGCCTCGGAGACGGAAGACTCTTTTTGGACGATTCAGCTTCGACAGGTTTTATTTCCAAAGGTTTGGTCGGGGCGGGTTCGGGCAACGTGCTCGCCTGAGACGGATCCGGCGTTTTGGGCGGTTTGACCGCCGGCTCGGGCGACTTGGGCTTCGGCTTCGACCTTTTACGCACCATCGGTGGCGTCGTTTTCGTAACGCTCACCTTTCTCTTTCCCGCAACGCTTTTATCTTCTGTCTCCAAAGCCGTTTTGTTCTCTGTACGTTCTACAACTGAATTTAAAACCACCAGTCGAGTTATATTTCAAAATTTTAATATTCAAAAATAAACTGATTTACTTTTTGATACTGTTGCCATTGGTGATGAATTGTCGATCTCACTGCCATTTTCTTTAGTCAATGAAATAGATGACATATTAGAAAATCCTAAATTTAAAAAAAAATTTCAAAACCGTATCTGATAATGGGCTAAGCAACATAAAACCAATTTACCATTAATATCGATTCCATTGTCTTTCCCAGCGCAGGTGTTTTTCGTTGACTTATCTAACAGAAAAATAAATAAATAACAATTTATGAAAATATAAATTTTAAAATAAATACCCTTATCATCTTTAAACTGAATTTGGTCTATGTCTTGGTTGAAAATTGAATATGAAGATCTTGACGGAGCCCAGATATTTGCTGCAGAAGAAAAAAAAATTAATGTACTTATACTACTTCTTACTTCTTGGTATAATCCTACTTCTATCGAATTTATCATAATCGCCTGCACCGATGGTTCTCGGGAAGGGGAACACAGGCGGTACAGGAGGACAGCTGGGCGGCTCGTCGGCCAGTCCTTTGACGTGCAGAGCGTGTGCGACACGCAGGAGACGCTGCAGCATGTCCGGCTCGATGTTCACCTCACCTCTGTACATGTATTCGATGATGTAGCGAAGCTCGCGGAAGGTGATGTCGTTAAATATGATCATCGGACACTTATCCTCACACTTATCAAAGAGTTTCTAAAAAATTAATAATAATCAAGTAAATGTACAATTTTTAAGAAAAATAGAGCATACCTTGAAATACGCGCTGCATGAGCTGAGTATGATTTTATGCACTCGCATCTGCTGACCCTCTGATACGAGGATGCAGTCTGTCAGTTCGTTCGTAGCGAAAAGGCTCTCAAACTCGTCCAGCAATGTGCTCTTGTGGAGATTCCACTTCAAGCAGTATAATTCTTGTGTCATCATTACAGTACTTTTCACTTGGAACTTTCCTGTAAAACTACAAAAAAAAAATTTCACAAAAAATACATTAAACGATTATTTACACCTAAGAGGTTTGAACAAGGATTCTACAAATTTAACGCAGAGTCAGCAGCTAATTAAACATGATTATATTTTCCATGCTATGTGAACATTACAAAGCATAAATGCACTGAAAATAATATTTGTAAACAACTAAATTCACTAATTCCGTGGTCCGCTTGACCAATTAATATATTACAATTAATTAAGGTTTTTAGTTGAGATAAAAAAGTCAATGGCACAAGCGGGATTCGAACCCACGATCTTCGGCTTGATACGCCGCTGCTCTAACCACTTGAGCTATCGTGACCTCGATCCACTCGTACACCAACTTCCTATCTCAACCCCACCTTATGAGTTTTCCCTCCTTTTTGCCATTTTTCAAATGTCATGTAATCAGATTGGATTCTCGACAACAAATGAAATGGCCACGGAGAGTTTTAGTGAAGTATACTTCATTTTATTGAAGTGAATCATTAAATTCACTAATTTCGTGGTCCACTTGACCAATTAATATATTACAATTAATTAAGGTTTTTAGTTGAGATAAAAAAGTCAATGGCACGAGTGGGAGTTCGAGGTCACGATAGCTCAAGTGGTTAGAGCAGCGGCGTATCAAGCCGAAGATCGTGGGTTCGAATCCCGCTCGTGCCATTGACTTTTTTATCTCAACTAAAAACCTTAATTAATTTGTAAACAACAATAATCTGACTTCAAAGAATCAAATGAGAATTTTCCAAAAAAAAACAAACACTTGGGAGCCAAAAACCGGCCACCATCGGAATAAGATACTTGTAATAATTTGAATTTTTAGTCGTTTACTGGATATTTTTCAAGAAAAATATTAGATATAAATAAAAAATTAAACTGAGTAAAACAATTTTATCAAAAATATTGCTACAGAGCCAATGAAGAAAATATTCAATTCAGAATTTCCTCCTTTTGCGTTGATCACTGCTCGCATTCGACATAAATTCTATGAGGTGGAAATATTTTCATAATCCTCTAACAGCACCATTCTTAATCTGTGCAAAATCTCTGGCGACTTTTTTCTCTCTTTAACAATTCATCCCAAAAGTGTTCAATAGGGTTTAAATCGAAAGTCACGCTGGCCACTCCAAACATTGAATTTAAGCCCATTCCGAGTAGTCATCAACAATGCATATTATGCATAAAAATAAAACCGTGACTAATTACTGGCGTAACTTCAGATACATCTTAAATGTATTGCATAGCTTTTAGAAAACCAAGTTTGTGCGACTTTCCAAAGAAATGCCCACCCACCTCCATGGATTCTCCAAAGTGAAAATATTGTGGGGATATATCGCTCTCCTGTTCTTCAACAAACCCTCTCTCAACCGTCAGAAGGCCCCAAACAAAACCTCGACTCATTCAAAAACAAAATTTTAATCCAACCTTTCCATCCAATTTAATCTAATCCAGACCAACTTACGTGAGCGTCAGCGCGGTTCTTGTGAAACTTAACCGACTTGTGCCTTGTAAAAGTTATAGATCAGATGCAGGCCTTCTCGCACGTAATCCAGCTTTTGAAAGTCCTTGCCTTAGAGTGTGGAAACTTACATCGTTGCTTGATCTCAACAGCAGTAGAATGTCAATTACAGAGCAAATTAGAAACAATAAAACGATCATCTCTCTGACACAATGGCGAATGGGAATCTGGGAATATTAAGCACCCTGGCAACATCCAACTGACTTCTTCCATCTTCCAACAAAGTTATGATTCTGGCCGAATCTGTGTCACTTAAAACCATCACTCAAATTTTACTACTTAAAAATGGTACCACTTAAAAAAAAAATCAAACCACCGGAACATTAGAATGAAGATTTACAGAAATTTCCGGTGGCCCTAAACCGTTGTGGACCATCGTGGATGGTAAAACGTGATTGTCCATTGTTGGCCAAATCATCTCCCAGGATACTTAAAACCATGCTTTTTTTTTTAAAAAATTATCTAAAGAGTGTAAAAACATTAGTAACACTCTATTAAAGGGAATGAAGTTATTAATGCCGTATTTATGCTTTAAATCAACTATTAATCTTTGTGCATAATTATTATCGAAAATATACAAATAAATAAGTGTCTGATTTCAAGTCCAAAGTACTTTTAAAAAAGGCATCTGGTAGATCCAAATTATACTTCGTCACAAAATAGTTGACGTTTCGCATTTTAGCAGGTGCATCGTTGAAAACTATTTGCTGGACATTAATTAATATCCAGATAAAGTGAAAAATAGTTCATTTAAGGGAAATTCGTAGATCTGATAAACTTATTTTCTCAAAAAAAAGATTTGGTTGAAATTTCCGAATTTAACAAAATATCAGATAAAATGCAATTTTTCTCGTGTAAATTATTATCTTGGAAAGTAATACGATTCTCGGGATATATTTCATTAAATTTGTTTTCCTTCACCTGATAAACCAAGTTATATTAGTCCGCAATAGCAAAATACTTATTAATATTATTTCGTGTAAAATATTGCTTTATTCTGTTCAGTAGGAAAATTGTGAATTGCATTGATCTCGATTATCGAGTTTTGTGTGAATAAATAGATTTTTTCTTAAATTATGCGGCTCGGGCTCATAAATTTCATTTAACATGAAAATTATGATTATTCAGGGATTGTGAGATGCGGTCTGGTGTGATGTAGGTTTTGGAAAAACATATTCTTTATCGTGCCAACGTTTCAAACTTTATTGAGATCATCTTCAGGGCACAAAGTGTTTGTTTTGTATGATCCCAATAAAGATCGAAACTGACTTTTTTACCTCAACTAAAAACCTTAATTAATTGACAGATATTAATTGGTTAAGCGGATCACGAAAACTAGTTGGCACAATAAAGAAAATTTTTTCTAAAACCTACGTCACACCAGACCTCATCTCACGATTTCCGAATAATCATTAACTAACCTTCAACACCCCACATTAAAATTATGATAGAAAAAGATACTGATTATATTTCAATTAATTAAGGTTTTTAGTTGAGATAAAAAAGTCAGTGTCTCAAGCGGGATTCGAACCCACGTCCTTCCGCTTGATACGCCGCTGCTCTACCACTTGAGCTATCGTGACTTCGATCCACTCGGACCCAACTTCCCATCTCAATCCCACCTTTTGAATTTTTCCCCCTTTTTGCCTTTTGGTATTATTTAATATGTATAAAATTTTAGTTTTAAGTTTGTTTTTTCCTGTTCATAAATACGCGAAAAGCTCCTACCTAACATTAATGCTAAATTTACCGAAAGATTAATTTAAAAATTTTTTGTTTGTCATTATTCTAGATTTAGGACCATTAAAAACTGAATTAATACAACTTGACAATTTAATATACATACCATTAATATGACACTAACAAAATATACAGAATTATGAAAAAGCGAGACTTTACAAAGATTTTAACGAACAATAATTTAAATTTCTACAGCAATGACGATAAACCTTACTCGAAATGCTGAGAAAACAAAATACATAAAATAATTATTACAGGGTATTGAAAAATAGCACGGAATGTTTGAGGATAAGGGTAACCCTAGGTTCGACAAATAAATTCAGCTATTTCATGGAGAACAGAAGCTACTATACTCGATGATTTTTTTCAATTAAATTACAAATGATAATCGGCGCATACTTGACTAAAAATATAAGTTATTTTCAAAACTGCCCCCCTTTGGGAAAAACACTGGTCAGTATATTTGGCAAGCCCCTATTTCCGGCTTCCAGCTTTTCAGTGGTATCAGTTTGGCTAGGATAATTTCGAGGAAAAAAAGTATTTTCAGGTAAAAAGGCTGAGAGTTTTTGACGGGGTTGATTTCATTGCCAATAGGTAGTTCTCCATTTTGAAAATTTCAAAAGTCGGCCATTTTGATTTTAGCCTTAACGGTCACAGGGCACAACCGGCCACGTGCTACTCGGAAAAATAAAAGATTTTTCCTTTTTCCTGGGTAAAAAAAAACAGTTAATAATCCAAAAGAAAATAATGTCATATATTTAAGTATTTATCAAATATTTGACGAGAAAACAAGGACGAGTTTGGAAAATCCAAATTACGTTTCGTACTTTCATGCCACCCAGAGATAGTTTTTTATTAAAAACTATTAAAAGTTATTTTCACCAAGCAAAATAACATAATCCTACGCATGACAAATAACATTATTTTTCCATCGGGAAAAAAATTTCAATACGGTTTTCGCCCAAATCCATAGCCTCAAAACCCCAAGTAATAAAAATCCAAACGCATACATTTTTAATAAATTTAAAAAAATGAAATTTAAACAGACTTACCTTATAAATTTTTCTGGCCTTGACAATGTCGGTCCCAATTAAATTAAAAAAAAAAAAGTTTGTAGATGTGTAACGAGTCGGTCGCAAAAGATGAATGATGGTGGATGGGCCTCGTCGAACTTCCGCCGGCCGTGATTACCGAATATTTATTTTCCTCGTTATATTTCATAATACAACTTTAAAAAAATAATATATACGAAATTTAACGAAAAATTTATTTAATTTTTTTAAGTCGTGTGTTAATTTTAAGCGGAACTTTGCCTCGAAATACCCTCCTATACGCAATTGAACACGTAGGAAATCCCTTAAAATAGACATAGACTCTCTTCTATTATCAATATTTAATTAATTGATGTATTTTTTATCATTATCAATCAATTAATTAATATATTATGTTTAAATTGGTAAAATGTTATGTCAACTGTCATCACTGGCGCAAAATCAATCTCATGAAGGCTTATGCTCCAGTCATGATGACGTTCGATTTTTGAAATGAGAACAAAAACTCCCATTTTGGTTGAAAAATCCATAAAATGTTTGAACTTTCGATTTATTTGATTTATGTAGGAGTTAAAAATACCAATATTTTGATTGTTAAAATTAGAAACTTTTCTATGCAAAGATAATCGAGATAAAGAGGTCATTTAGGACTAAAAACATCAGCCGACTTTTATTTGAATTTATACTGGATATGTATTTATAAAGATAAACATATGTAATGATTTAATTAAATAAACCGGCCCATTGACGTTAAAAAAAATAATAAAGAACATGATTTAAAAAATCATTAGATGAGCTGGATCAGCCAGATCTCATGTATCAAGAGTAATGTTGATAGGTCTCAGAATACTTGATTCGTAGAAGAGGGGTCATCTTCACCTGATTAAGAATAGGCCGTGTGAGGTTGACACATGGACACTTTTGGGCCAAACCCTGCCACTTGTGTCCTACCTATTTGAAGAGTGCAATTCCTTGGCTCCATATAGAGAGCGTGTCGGAATGCCGCTTGATATGAGAAATGTGCTTGACATGGCAGTACCTGGGTACTCTGTTCCAATTCTAGGAGGAAAAAAGTACTGATAATGTTGTTTCCTCTAGTGAATGTATTTATTGGCGTGGATGCGAGAGGGCCAATGGCAGAATATTGACATCGACGCTCAATTAGGTTTGTTTTATAATAGGTGTAAAGGAATATCAAGTACTCCACCGCCAATGTGCATGGTTTGTAAATAGGAAAGATGTTTTTTTGGAATGAATGGATTTGGATCTAAGAACTGCACGCATTAGCTGACCTAGCTGTTGACAGGACCTGGAACCCAAACTCGGTGGTTGGAAGGATGACTGAGGAGACTGTCAATACCCAGGGTAAATATTGTCCATTATGAAAGCTGGAATCACCGATGAACTGTGGGAAGAAGAAGGCTCAACTCTGTACATATGCATGTGCAGATTTGAACTTATATCAGTAATCAGTCATTAAATAAAATTAACAGGTCCTTATAGGAGAAAAAGAACAATATAAAAAAATGAAACATTGTTCAATTTGACCAATCATTTGGACTTCATTATAAGAAATATGTATATATATTTTTAACAACAATCTTTTACGGTTTTAAGGTTAAGAGCCATTCTCTTTAATACACGGGGCAGAAATATAGGAGGTGGTCCAACATGGCTGAGGATTTGGCACTGTAATCATCCAAGGATCATTCACTAGCCAAGAGCTGCTCCTAATGAAACTAATGCAACATAAAACATTTTTTACAACATATTTATACTAATAATGGCTCTAACCCTCCTTTTGTCTTTACTGGACTCTGCATTCTCTACTCTCATTTTCCAATCCTCCTTTTTTATATTGGTCTCTCAACCGAATGGAGAAAAATTTTTTTTAGGTAGACAGTGAGGCATGACCCCTGGCCACACATGCAACATTCCAAAATTGTTGTTTAAGGTTTTTTACAAGATCCCAAAGCTTTTTCAACGACTGGGTATCCTTCAGGCCATGGGCTTTTCCTCTCCCAGGAATAGGAATCTTCTTAGCCTACCTTTGAACTGGAAATATTCTGCTGCCTCTTCTTCCTGGCAATATCTGCACAGGCTTGTTTCCTTCACTCTGAGTCTATACATCTCCAGAGTCTGCAGTGTCCAGTTAGCAGTCCAATTATTATTGTAGTCCTAACATGTCCTATATTTAGTAGTTCTGCCATTAGTTTCTACAACTGTCCTTGATGAACTTTTTGCATGTCCTCTACTTTCTCGTTGAATGGAGGGCTTATTTCTAATCCATTGTCAGATGAGTTCATGTTTTTGGCAGTTTGGTATGCCACAAAATGTTATCCTCATCTAACTTTCCTTGGCCAAACAGCCTCTTTGGTACCAAAACAAAGAGTTCCCCCCCTCTGCCAATGGCCCTAATGCCATCCCAAACTAAACTGCTCTGGACTTTTACTACCAATGTAGTGACCAAGAGTTTTGGTGAGCTGATCGTTGAGTTAAGGACTGTGTGTGCTGATGGTCAAGTTCTGGGACCTAGATACAGTGATGTCGGTAGAAACAGCGGAAGAAGGGACTTGTGTAGCAGTCCTACCACTTGCTGTTGAGCTGGTATGGTCGACTTGCTTAAAGTGTATAATAACACCTCGTCAAAAGTTTAAATCAGCAGGCAGTGCCCCTGCTTATATACAAAATCGCCCAATGCTGGTTGGCTGGAAAGTGGAGAGCAAGATCATTCCTGAACCGGTTGTGATGCCTACTGGAAGACTTGATGGTCACCACAGCCCTCATTGTGACCACCCGAGTAGACGTCTACTCTTCTTTTAACTAGCATTTTAATCTCCTTGGCATAATGTTCAAAAGCCATATTTTCTGCTTGAAAGACAGTAGCAATTTGCCCAAAGCCCTTGGTTTATTTATGTAAAAGCTCCTGATTCAAACTCCTCGATTTCGAGCTATACTAGATATGATCAGCATTAACTGAACTGTTTGCTTTTTTGAAATTGTTTTTCAAATCTTCATTTAGGGTAGCATAACAGGCATCTTCAGCTATCTGCTTGAAGCTTTACTTGATAATGGTCCTCATAAATCATATACCTTCTCCCTCCACCTTTGATACATCAGAGTGCCATTCTAGGACCCCTTTCTGAAAATTTAGTTTGCCTTTCTTTCAAAGGTCTCTACGATCATTTGAAAGCATCTGGCGAAGTTGTTTTCCTTTCATTTTGTCAGGTACTGTCATAGTCATCTCGTTTATTTTAATACTATCTAAAATTTTAAAAGTTTCTCCTTAGGTCTTGTTTTATTTTCTTGTTTCCCAGATGTCTGTTGGCACATTCGAAAACCTTTTGTAAGTGTGTAACGAAGGTTTTCATCTCTGTTGTGGGACAAGTTGTCATTGCTCCGACCTTGTTAAGATGTCTTTGTAGACTTTTTTTCTTTTGTGTCTTCTTATGGTGCTCCATGTATGATCTGGGATCTGACCATTTGGTGTATTGCCAGTTTTTGCATCTCTACCTAATGCTTAGTAGTGTCTTGACCTTGTCGTCTATGTGACTTCACTTGAGCTTTTGGTCATTAGGTTGGTACTTTGTTTCTTGGAAGATTTAGGCTTCATCCATTTTACAGTGGGTACCTTCAGATTTAACGTTCTCCTCGTGTAGATCTTTCTATGCTTAGGACATTTTGTAAACTGATCCAAATTTCCCTTCACAATCATCCACCAAGTCACCAAAGGTTAACAAAATAAAACTCTTCTCTTGCAATATAAAATATATTTGAAAATAAATATTTCATGATAGCAGAAGCTTAAAAAAAAAAAATAATAATAATAATAATAATAAAAAGAAGAAAAATAAAAAACGAATATAGATGCAACTAATGCAACATATGATCAAGAATTATACATGTTTTGCATTAATAAATTATCAAAGAAACTTAAGCCTAAAAAGTATTGCTTACCAATTAAATAACTATCTATTTCCTATATACATTCTTTTTTTTTTAATATTTTTTATTTATAGTTTTGTCATATCAAAAATCTGCAAAAATATCCAATTGCAACACTACCCGTAGCAGATTACATAATAAATGATTTTTTTTTTCAAAAAAGAAACAAAAAAAGACATATAAGCAGTCTTACAAACGAACAAATTATTTTATAAAATAAAAGGAAGGAACATGTTTTGCATTCGATTATAATAAAAATTAAAAAAATGCAAAGGCTGCGGTTCGCACACAGGGGAAAAAATAAGTAAGTGATGTAAAGGATGAGTACGCAGCTAGGCACAAAATAATAGAGAGAAAGAGAGACTAGAGTTAAAAAGAGTATAAAAATTGTTCTTCTCGAGGAGTATTTTCTTTTACCTTGCAAATAATACTGAGGAGTAAAAAGTCTTAATTTATAGTAACTTGAGTATTTTGAGTTAACAAAAAAAAAAATAGAAAATAATATAAAAAAGAACCTTAAAACACAAAGAAAGCAAAAGATATGTTTGTTTTTATTAATTATACAACCTAGTTTGTTTTTTGAAATGTATCTACTATATAATTAATTATTTTATTATCTAAAGCCTAAATTTACTGTTCTTTAAAATTGTTTTTATTATCCTGAATAAACAATATCGATGGGATAACTTGTAGTCTCTGAATGAAATTCTTGAGTATTTGAAAATCTAATCTATTATCACTGGTTTTTCTCTGGACCTTAATCCAATTTTTAACTTTTTTTTATAGATTTTATTAATTTTTTCCTTTTTTTAATTTTTTTAAACAATTTGCCTTAATAAATAATATTTACAAAAATCGTATACTAACTTTGTATTTTTTGTTTGTTTTAAATGTCTTAATTATAATTAATTGCACAGTATTAAACGCTTCCTTTTTATTTTTTGTTTTTTTGGTTTTTCATCTTTTGAAATAAATTTGTGAAAAAAAAGACCAGCCTTTCTCCTTCGGGAAAAACCAAACTGTCCAGACGGAGAAAGAGAAATGCTCCAGGAAGAGTCTAATAATGCAACTTTTTATTATTATTATTATTGTATAAGGCGCTGAATGGTATACTGAGGAAAATTACGGGTAAGGGTTTTTCACCACTGGTAACAACAGTTTTAATTGACTCGAGGCTCGATTTTACAAATAAAAAAAAAAGATCAAGCCTGTTGTAATGTAATCATGTACAGTCATAAAATAAAAAAATAGCTGGTTTTTAAAAAATCTTGCGAGTGGGAATTTCTCTTTCCGCTATACTTATTGTAAAAACAACCTTTTTCCATCTAAAAAATACTAATGATCATTTGTCTTTTATTCTTTAATTATTCCTTTTTTTACTATAAGAAAGTCTCGTGTCTATATAAAATTTTTTTGTTTTACTAAAATATAGATTCTAATCCGTGGGATTGTAGTTGGGAGTATTTGTGGGGGGGGGGGCAAACGGAGAAACACCTATTTGTACAAAAGTTATTGTTCAAATGATTTCGCTCACAGCCTCTCGAAAACGAAAATAAAAACTAAAATAAAAAAAGGATGCTTTTAGTTTTGTATTGTACTGAGAACAAGGCTGGCCGCTTATTACGTATCCGCTTAAAACCGAGTTTTACAAACTACTAAATACTTTGGTGATACTGCAAAGTTACCATTTTCTCTGACCGTATAATCTATACAAAACACGGTGGAAGATGTCTACCTACAAACTATCTTTTTTTCCCGAATAATAATAATTTTTTTTTTTTGGATTTTTAATTATTTTTTTTAAATAATATTTTCCCTTCTTTTTAAATATTATCAGCCTAATATAATAGCAATTATATTTAATTGATAATAATTAATGATATACATATTTATATATATTTTTTGTTTTAAATTATAAGATAGAGAGCATAATTTAACGTCATGCAATAAGAAACTGATCTTTAAGTACTAAATTTTTTTCTCTTTTGTTCAAAATTTGTATCAAAACTATATACAAAAAAAAAATCAAAGATCTGAACAAAATTATCAACATTAAAAACACTCATTGCCAGAAATTTGCTCAAATTTGTTGTAAAAAAATTTTTTTTTGGCTTCACCTGCCAGCATTAACCGCTCAACATAATGTTTCTCTAGAAAAATACGGAATTTCATCGAGCTAAAATGTGTTCGGATTTTGAAGAAATACAAATCGTAAAATCCCAGTTGTTGCGACAAAAATTAGAGATTGTAGTGTTAAAAAACATAAGAAAAAACAAAAGAATAAATAAATTATGGTAAATTATAAAAACGTCAATAGCACATGATAAAACAGGACAAAGAGAATAATTTCCCAATACAATAAAAGCTAAGTACTTCAAATTATTGTCATGGATAAAACATTGATGTTCGTCTTACGGTAAATCAGGGATTGATTATCAGAAAAGGCCTAGGATTTGAATTTCTGCCTTTTATTTATTTTTTTGTATATGTTAATCATCTAGGAACACCTCTGGTTCTGTTAAAAAGATAATTTTCTACCTTAGACAGTTAAATTTTGACAGAAAATAACTTTATGAGGTAGTTTATATTGGAAATGATTAAAAAAACTGCGCTTTTTCATTTTTACGCGTTGTTTATTCATCCCTGATCGTTTCTAGTCATGGGATTTTTCCATTTCGAACCCAATGAGAAGAACGAGACGACACATTTTCTGCGAATTTGGTTGAATTCAGATGGTACATTGAAATGATACAAAGTTGACTTGAATCTTTGCAATTGGAATCAAAATGGCAAAATTTCCGAGTGGATTTGTACTGAAATATTGTCTTTGATTTTTTGGTCCTGTCAGGGGAATTTTTTTTTTCAACACGTCTCATTCAATGGGTTAAAAAAACGCAGATTTCTTTTTCAAATAGAAAAAATAAAATAAAAGAATGGATAAAATTTGTTCAGCACTTTTTCCATTGCGATACAAGGATTCGATAAGTAGAAAGAGAGATCAGACCTTATTGGAGACGTTATCGAGGAACAAGAGGGAGGAAAAACCGAAAGCGGGCCGACGAAAGAAGCTCAAGTGTTGTTTTTGCTATGAGGCTGCTGTATGCGGTCGCGGTGTCTGCTTATTATGTGCACTTTGAGGTTTCCTTTCTGGTGGCACTTTTTGTCGCAGTACGGACAGGCGAACTTGGGCTCCTTCCCGCACTCCCATCTCTTGTGGAGGTTCAGGCTCGTCTTGGAACGGTAAAACTTGGAGCAGGCGTCGCATTTGAAATTGGCGTCCTTTTCCGTCGCATTCGGCCTTCTCAACTGGATCATTTTCGAATACCCTGGAATATTTACATAGAAAATAAACTCTATATAAATTCAGGTTTAGGTTTAATAATTTTTTTTTGTTTTGGTTTTTTACCTGGGAAACTAACAATAGGCGAGATATTTTCCTCCGAGAATCTCTTCTGTTGCTGTAATAAACCTAAAAATGTTGGATTTTGAGGAAAAGTGTTTGCATCTGGAAAAATCACACCTGAAAAATATCAAGAACAATTGAATTTTAAGAAATCTTGTCAGGATTTTAAAATAGAAAAATACCTTGATTTGTCTGATTTGACGGCCCAGGGTATGAGTGAGAATCGTCGTTTTCATTGTCGAGCTTGTGTATCGAGCCTTCTTGGAATGATTCGTCGCTCGAGTGGTAATTGCTCGGCAGGCCGTCGCTCACCGAAAGATCTTTGGGCGCCTCTGCGTCTCCTGCCTCATCGTCGCCTTCGTCGTTCTTTTCCGTCGTCGTGACCCTCTCTTCCTCGTCGTTTGTCAGCCCTTTGATCTGAAGGGCGTTCGCCGCCTTGAGGAATATCGCCAACTGGTCCTGAGACACGTTCACCTCGCCCCGGTACATGAATTCGACTATGGCCACCAACTCAGTGAATTGGACGTTGTTGAGGATTATTATCGGATGCATGTCTCCGTGTTCCATTAAAATCTCCTAAAGCAACAAGATATTTATATTAAAAATAAAGAATAAATCTTTGTTTATTGTTCTTATGATTTTTTAAAAATATATATAGCCAGAGAAGTGATCATGTGTTCATATATTTATTTGAAGGAAGAGAAATATGAAAGAAAATTCCAGGGGTGACAGTGGGAATCGAACCCATGACAGTTTAAGAGCCAAGAGTCTAACCCACAAACCACTTAGCTACCGTGGTCTATCATAAATTAAATAATTCAATGAGAATAAGTGCAAAATTAAAAATATAACTGATCTTAGAATCAGTCATAAATTATAATTAAAAAATACTTAATATTTTGTTTTCCTGACTGTCAACAATTTCCTATAGGCCTTTAATTAATTAAAGAAAACCAAAACAAAAGACAGGAAACACTCTCATTTCATTGACATTGATCCTTGCTGGGTTGGTCTGTCAGATGCGCATCGCCATCTTCAGTGTGTCTATACTGAAATAATGTGTGAGAATTGGCAGGCTAAGATGATCAGTTAGGACCAGAAAACTGCAAAAGACAAGGAGCAAAAATAATACTGAGAGTAGACACAATTTTGCAAACGGGAATTGAAGCAGTAATTTGATCATTAATCTTTTAGAATAGAAAAGATAATGAATCATTTAGGGTAAAGGAAGACTTTGGTCACCCTGAAGAAGGAAGAAACTGGAAGCTTCTTGTGTAACACTGATAGTTTGTACGTAATTTTGTAAATGTACAATTTTTTGTTAATTTCAAGAGGTTTCTATGTGATCAGGAAAGGCTAGAATGAGCTCCACCTGTCTTGGAGCGAGAAGGAACAGAAGGAAACTACAGTTTGCAGAACGTCATTGGTTTGTGCTGCCCAGTATCAAGGTACAGGATTTTTTTTAAATTAAAGAGGTTTCTATGTGATCAGGAAAGGCTAGAATGAGCTCCAGATGTCTTGGAACAAGAAGGAACAGAAGGAAACAACACTTTGCAGAACGTCATTGGTTCATATGGTCCAGTAACAATGGACAATTTCATTTTTCAATAATGATTTTGTCGTGTTGTCACTTTCAGAATGTGGTTTGAAAGAAGAAGTTCAAAAATTATGAAAATTTCAAAACAGTACATTGAAATCCTCTGGTTCTGCAGAATGTGTCTTTGGTTTTGCACGATTTGGAGTGAAATGACACTGAAACATGCCAAATGTCACGAAGAGGCAGAACCTTTGGAAAGACAAAAGCGAAAAGGAATCCCAGAAAGTGCTAAATTACCATAAGAAGTGCAATTGTCAAGGTTGGTTAATAAAGAAGGGTCCATTCTACAATAGATGTTGGAGAATAAGGATGGGAGATTTTGTTCATCAACAACCCTGAAGAAGGAAGAAACTGGAGGATTCTTGTATAACTGATAGTTTGGTTTTCTCATTATTCTTATACAAAAATACTAAATGTACAGATTTTTTCATTTCAAGAGGTTTCTATGTGATCAGGAAAGGCTAGAATGAGCTCCACCTGTCTTGGAGCGAGAAGGAACAAAATGAAACTATGGTTTGGAGAATGTCCTTGGTTCGAGCTGTTTGATATCAAGGTTCAGGATTTTTTTTTTTAATTCAAGAGGTTTCTATGTGATCAGGAAAGGCTAGTCAGGAAAGGATGTCTTGGAGCGAGAAGGAACAGAAAAAAACTATGGTTTGCAAAATGTCATTGGTTCGTGCTGACCAGTATCAAGGTACAGGATTTTTTTTTAATTCAAGAGGTTTCTATCTGATCAGGAAAGGCTAGAATGAGCTCCAGATGTCTTGGAACAAGAAGGAACAGAAGGAAACAACACTTTGCAGAACGTCATTGGTTCATACTGTCCAGTAATAATGGACAATTTCATTTTTCAATAATGATTTTGTCGTGTTGTCACTTTCAGAATGTGGTTTGAAAGAAGAAGTTTAAAAATTATGAAAATTTCAAAACAGTACATTGAAATCCACTGGTTCTGCAGAATGTGTCTTTGGTTTTGCACGATTTGCAGTGAAATGACACTTAAACATGCCAAGTGTCATGAAGAGCCAGAACCTTTGGAAAGACAAAAGCGAAAAGGAATTCCAGAAAGTGCTAAAATACCGTAAGTAGTGCAATTGTCAAGGTTGGTTAATAAAGAAGGTCCATTTAACAATAGATGTTGGAGAATAAGGATGGGAGATTTTGTTCATCAACGACCTGAAGAAGGAAGAAACTGGAGGATTCTTGTATAACTGATAGTTTGGTTTTCTCGTTTTTCTTATACGAAAATACTAAATGTACAGATTTTTTATTTCAACAGGTTTCTATGTGATCAGGAAAGGCTAGAATGAGCTCCACGTGTCTTGGAATGAGAATGAACAGAAGGAAACAATGCTTTGCAGAATGTCATTGATTCACACTGTCTAGAATAAAGGGGCAGGATTTTTTTTTTAAATTCAGGAGGTTTCTATGTGATCAGGAAAGACTGGAATAAGTTCCTCATGTCTTGGAGCGAGAAGGAACAGAAAGAAACAACGCTTTGCGGAATGTCATTATGTCATTGATTCATACTATCTAGAATAAAGTGGCCCGATTTTTTTTAATGAAGAGGTTTTTATGTGATCAGGAAAGGCTAGAATGAGCTCCACCTGTCTTGGAATGAGAAGAAAGAGAAGGAAACTATGGGTTGCAGAATGTTATTGGTTCACGCAGTCCAGTAACAATGGACAGTTTCATTTTTCAGCAATGATTCTGTCATGTTGCCATTTTCAGAATGCATGACAAAAGAACAATTTCAAAAATTATGAGAATTTCAAACGGTACATTGAAATCCACCGTTTCTGCAGAATCTATCTTCGGTTTTGCATGATTTGAAGTGAAATAAGAATGAAATATGCCAACTTCATGAAGAGGCAAAAACTTTGGAAAGACATAAGAGAAAAGGAATTCTAGGTAGTGCTAAATTACCTTAAGTAGTGGAATTGTCAAAGTTGGTTAATAAAGAAGGGTCAATTCAATCATAGATTGTTTATATTGGTGTGTAAGAATGGGAGATTTTCTTCATCGATGACCCTGAAGAAGGAAGAAACCGGAGGATTCTTGTATAACTGATAGTTTGGTTTTCTCGTTATTCTTATACAAAAATACTAAATGTTCAGATTTTTTCATTTCAAGAGGTTTCTATGCGATCAGGAAAGGCTAGAATGAGCTCCACCTGTCTTGGAGCGAGAAGGAACAGAAGGAAACTATGATTTGGAGAATGTCATTGGTTCGAGCTGTCTGATATCAAGGTTCAGGATTTTTTTTTAATTCAAGAAGTTTCTAACTGATCAGGAAAGGCTAGTCAGGAAAGGATGTCTTGGAGCGACAAGGAACAGAAAGAAACTATGGTTTGCAGAATGTCATTGGTTCGTGCTGTCTGATATCAAGGTTCAGGATTTTTTTTTAATTCAAGAAGTTTCTAAGTGATCAGGAAAGGCTAGTCAGGAAAGGATGTCTTGGAGCGAGAAGGAACAGAAAGAAACTATGGTTTGCAGAATGTCATTGGTTCGTGCTGCCCAGTAACAAGGTACAGGATTTTTTTTAATTCAAGAGGCTTCTGTGTGATCAGGAAAGGCTAGAATGAGCTCCAGATGTCTTGGAACAAGAAGGAACTACGGTTTGCAGAATGTCATTGAATCAAACAGTCTAGAATAAAAGGGCAGGATTTTTTTTTTAATTCAAGGGGTTTCTATGTGATCAGGAAAGGCTAGAATGAGCTCCAGATGTCTTGGAACGAGAAGGAACTACGGTTTGCAGAATGTCATTGAATCAAACAGTCTAGAATAAAAGGGCAGGATTTTTTTTTTAATTCAAGGGGTTTCTATGTGATCAGGAAAGGCTAGAATGAGCTCCAGATGTCTTGGAACGAGAAGGAACAGAAGGAAACTACGGTTTGCAGAACGTCATTGGTTCGTGCTGTCCAGTAACAATGGACAGATTCATTTTTCATCAGTGATTCTGTCATGTTGCCATCTTCGGAATGCAGTTCGAAAGAAGAAGTGCAAACATTTCGAAAATTTCAAAAGGGCCTATCGAAATCTACCGGTTCTGCACAATGTATCTTTGTTTTTGCACGATTTGGAGCGAAAACGGAGCCCGGTGTAGGTTGCAAATTTATCTTTTGTTTGTTGTGATTGTCTTTGTTACTTGTTAACTCTCAAATAGGTCCGTTTTCCTCTGATTTTTTAAATTTTCCAGTCGGTATTCTAAAGTGGTGTATTTTTTTTAATGTAAGGTGTAGGTAGTATTATTTTTTGTATGTGTTGTTTAAGGTTATATATTAATAATAAAGTCACTTTTGTGAAATCGATAAAGCGATCTTGGGCTTACCTTAAAATAAGGACTGCAGGCGGAAAGTATCATTTTGTGAGCTTTTATCTGTTTTCCGCTTGCTGCCAGTGTGCAGTCGACGAATGTGTTTGAATCGAGGAGCGACGAGAAGAGGGAGATGAGCGTGTCCTGGTGATTGTTCCACTTGAGGCAGAAGTGCTGATTCGCCGTCATTCTGGTGGAAATGTATCCAAAACCTTAAAAAAGACCAGATTCGCCTTTGGGTCCCCTGGAAATTCTTGGTGGGAAAACTCGGCAGAGCCAAGAAACAGAAAAACAATAACACTAACACGTATCTTTAGCAACCTCTCTGCCCTTCGATGACCTATTACCCGTCCTGAAAACATAAGACCCGCATTCGAAACGCAGTGACTTCCTTGATACCTTAGAATATGCTGGAAAAACACCAAAACGGGAGGATCGGACCAAAAAGAATCTTGATCTTACTCTCCCTTATTGACATTATATGTCATATCCTGATGTGTTCTTACACTCTTTTACCACTTGATGCTACAGTAAAATGCTACAACTAGTCCAATTACAAACTTAAACTACCACATCCTTTTGAAAAAAAGCTAAAAACTAAGCAGAATCCATCACTTAGATGGTTCAATCATAAACACCATGCAACAATGACCAGAACATACAATGAAAACAGAGAACTGCCTGTTTTTGGTCTATTCTGTATCAACTGTTAATAATTTAGTAGAAAAGCATTAAGAAAGAATGAAGAATAGAGCAGATTATAATCCCAAAGGTTAAGCATATTCCATCCCATAAGACGAAGCATTCATAAGAGTCTAATCTGTCCCAAAGATAACAATTTGTAATAAATTACCATATTTATTAACTCAGGATGGTAGGAATCAGTCATTCCAGGACATGTGTCGAGTAGAAGACCCTTGCAAGAAAAGGGGCTGATGGACAGCCTCTGCTGGGTCCCAGGACACATGGTAGTAGAAGCCAACGAGACAGCGGACACCCGTTGGAAGGCAAGGAGCTGCCACACCGCTGACAGGACCCGAACCCTTCTGTGGCATAGGAATCCACACTATTAACGAATATCTCAGACAGAAGGATAAAAAGAAAATGAGCGAACTTTGGAATTCACTTATTGGACATAGACAATCCAAGAATCTTCTAACCAATTTTGGCAAGAAAGAAATCACAGAATGTGTCAAAGGAAGCAGGAACAGACTGCAAATCCTAACAGGACACTGCAGACTAAACGGGCACTTAAAGAAAATTGGAACAATCCAAGATGGCACATGTAGATTCTGCAAGGAAGCAGAAGAGACACCAACACACTTACTAACAAACTGCGGAGCTACATTAGCCCGCAGGAGGAAGTGTTTTGGGATGTACAATGTGACCATAGAAGAACTACAACCACTGAAACTGGGCCTATTAATCAAGTTTCTTGATGAAATAGGACTCACCGATGTGCTTTAGGCAGAGCACAGGGGATACAATAGCTCTAAAAGGGCGCAGTATACCATACCCTGAAATATTACATCTACATCTACCGCTGATGGAGCTGAAGCCCTCCTCGAGGAATCCACACTAATCAATGAGCACCTCAGACAGAAGGTATAAAAGAAAATGACGGAACAATGAAACTCACTCATTGGACACAAACAATCCAAGAACAAACTGAAAAACTTAGTAAGTAAAAGGTAATAATAGAATGCATTAAAGGAAGCAGGAAAAAACTGAGAATGCTAACAGGATACAGCAAACAATATGGACATGTGAAGAACATCTGTCCCAAAGATAACAATTTGTAGTAAATTGCCAAATTAATTTACTTGGGATGGTAGGATTCAGTCTTCCCAGGACTTTGAATTTGCTCAACTCAGCAAATGCAGATTCTGCAAAGAAGCAGAGGAAACGCCAACACACCTACTAACAAACTGTTGTGCCTGCAGGAAGAAGTGTTTTGGGATTACAACATAGAAGAAATTTAACCACTGAAACCGGGCCTAATTATCAAGTTCCTTGATGAACTAGGACTAGTGTGCTATAAGCACAGAACAACGGATACAATAACTCTTAAACGGCACAGCATAATACACACACCAACTAATACATCTAAATTTACATCTAGGAACCAATCAAATTTTAGACCTAATATAGTAAAAAAGTCAAATGTGTTCCACAGTGTAACAAGTTTGATACATTTTATGAAGGTGTTAAATTCAAATTTGTTTCGGAATACATGTTTCATTCATTTAATGTGGAGTGAAGTATGTCACAAGGTAATAATTTAAAACCATTTAATGACATCTTAGGTCGAATATGTTACAAGATAACAATTTAGAACTGTTTAATGAGCTTCACAGTTTTAAATGCAAGGTAACATTTTGGATGCATTTAATGTGGAATTTTTAAAAATATGTCACAAGGAAACAAGTTTGATTGTTTATTGTAATTTTAGAAGACACGTGTATCACAGAATTACAAATTTGATCCAATTAATGAGGCCTTAAAAGTGAAATATGTCACAAGATATCAAATTGGATCCATTTAATGAGGTCTTAAGAGTCAAATAATTCACAAGGTAACAATATGGATCCATTTAATGTTTTTTTAATATGTCACAAGGAAACAATTTCAATTTATTTATTGTGGTTTTACAAGACAAGTATATGATAAGATAACAACTTGTATCCATTTAATGAGGTGTTAAGAGACAAATGTGCCACAAGGAAACAATTTTGATTTATTTATTGTGGTTTTACAAGACGAGTATCACACGGTAATAATTTGGATCCATTTACTGAGGTCTTAAGAGTCAAATATGTCATAAGTTAACAATTTGGATCCATTTAATGTTTTTTAATATGTCACAAGGAAACAATTTTGATTTATTTATTGTGGTTTTACAAGACAAGTATATGGATAAGGTAACATATCCATTTAATATGGTCTTAAGAGTCAAATATGTCACAAGGTAACAATTTTGATCCATTTAATCAGGTCTTAAGTGATAAATTTGTCACAAGGCAACAATTTGGATCTATTTGATGTATCCTTAACATTCATATATGATGCAAACTTTTTTTAGTACAATAGTGAAATAAATAAAACTTTTTAAAGGTTCTGAGAGTCAAATATGTTCCAGAGACAATCTGGAACCTTTTAACATCAGGTCCAAAAGTAGTCGGTCACTAAGGAATGGTTAGGGTCAATATTGGCACCTTTTGGTTGGCCAGGTAATTTTAACGCAGCTTTATGTCAAAGATTATCACAAGGTTCACATTTTGATTAAGCCAATGTTATCTTGAAACTTAAAAGTATAATATATTCCAATAGGCAAATATAGAAAAATGTTTATGAAATGTGAAAAGAGCCGATGAAGGGAAAAAATGTGTTGGTAATGGTTCGGCCAGATTATCCTTTCAGGATTATATAGAAAGGGATAAATAGGAATAGGAAAGCTAAATTGTTGGGAAATTAGACTTTGTGAAAAATATTTGATGTGTGGAATGCAATGTGATGATATGGGTATGTTATCTGTATTTTCACCTCAAAGAAGCCGACGCCTTATACAAAAATGTCTTTTTTGTACGACTTCCTTCCCCACCCCTTCAAAATCCAACGTATTTAAACACAAAATAGCAAAATCTCACTGGCACTCTCGACACGACACGCAAGAATGGCACAATTACACAGAAGACACTTTGAGTGAGTAGAAATTGAATATATAAAATATATTTTTTGCATTGTATAAATTCACTTTTCCACATCCAAAATGTAATTGTTATATGTAAACAATGTTTGTAAATCCCAGGCCCTGAAGATGATCTCAATAAAGATCGAAACGTTGGCACGATAAAGAAAATGTTTTTCTGAAACCGACATCACACCAGACCGCATCTCACAATTTCTAAATAAATATGATTATGAAATCTTAAGAGCCAAAAAGTAACAATTTGTTAACTTTTATACCTTAAGTCTTAAGAGCCAAATAAGGTTGTCTATATGCGAGTCCTCTGATTGTAGGAAGGAGGCGTTGTGCCATCAGCTATCATAAATAAGTACAACAAATACATGATGAGCTTTGTAACTACAGGTTTTGAACTTAGTTTTTATTTGGGCCAGATTAACTTATCTTTTTATTAAGGTTACTATTTTTTATGTTTAAACATTGTTTAACTATAAATTTTGGTTTTAAATTGGAACATCAGGAGCTTCTCAAACACCAGTGTTTTTTGTACGTTCTTATAGGAGTATATACCAGTATCACATTCTCTATTTATTAAAAAAAAAAAAAAAAAAAAAAAAAATCTGAATGGTAACCGTTATAAAATTAAAAATAAAACAAAATGGAGAAACAACATTTTTATATTATAAAATATAATTACAAAATTCATTAGTAAGAAAGTTTGAGAGCATAGATTTTATTGCTTAATTCTTCAAACTTGACAATTTTCCTAATGAAGAAATCTCCGTATCTGTTGGCGACTCTTGTGTCGGCGATGTGAATCATGTCGTGATCAATATAGAAGTCGAGCTGTCATAAAAAAATAAATAAATGTATTATAATGGGTTGTTTTATTTAATAAAATAATTTGAAAATTACTTCTGATCCTGATTGGAAGGAGCCTTCAAGCCCCGAAGTCCCCTTGGTCCAGACGACATTCTTCATTTTGTGCTTGAAGCATAACAGGGTCGTGCGAAGGTTCACCTTTTCTTTCTCGATCGCCTGGCTCGACATGACGGGCGTCGAGCAGTTGTTGGCGTTGAGTACGAGTGTTGTCAGCTTGATCAACGGCAGCGTCGTGTACAGTTTGAGGAAGCTGCGAATCATCGGCAGGCGGATCTGCTGCGTCACCTCCTGCATGAAGACATCTGTCTGGTGGTTAATCGCCTCCATCACATAATCGTGATCTGTACTGCTTGGAGCTTTTGGCGGCGGGATACTCAGGAATTTAGGACAAGCGAATTGGAAACACGATTTGAACTCCTGAAAATGAAGGACTGGTGTAAAAATGAAAAATAAAGGATAAATAATATATTTGTAATTAATTACCTCCAGCTCTCCTTTCTGCATGTTGTACATTTTTTCATAAAGCTTGTTGTCCTTCATGTACTGCTGGATTGAATCATCGATGCATTGTGGATGAAGGACAAGGCAAATGGCCAAAAGATGGTACATCTGGTCTGTCTGTTTCTTAATCTGATGAAAAAACAAAATATTTCTTGGCTTTTATTTTCCCACAATATTTAATTTTAAATTCACCTGATCATTCTGGTAGGTTTTTGATTGGAATAACTGCTTAGTCCTCTGGATGTACAACAATATGGACGAGAAGGTACGAATGGCGTCTGAGTACCTTCTCATCATCATATATGCAAAGCCGACGTAGTATGAAGTCGAAATTTGACACGCCGGGACGTGTGCATACTGTGTCTTCTTGTGCATTTCATGTATGTCAATGTTTTCGAGGACTTTGATGGCAAGATAATAATCGCCAAGTAGAGAATGAAGCCTCAGGAGCCCGACCAGGCTGAAATACCCGAGCATTTTGTATAACGGGAGCTTTCCGTAGTCTCCAGCGACTGAGTTCGGGTCGCCGCCCCTGGCGTACACTTCGAGCTGTTTCTTGATATTACTCTTGTCGATGAGCGAGTGGAGGATGTTGAGAACGCAGAGTACATTCCAGGTCGTAGGCGGGCAGTCGTTCACGATCGCGTTGTATTCGTCTGGACTGTTTTTAAATAATCTCGCCTTGAAGAGTATGAACGATTGGAACTGGTAGATGAGTTCATCGATAATCTCCCAAAGCCATTGGTCAGGGAGGACGAGGTTGACGGGCTCACCGTCGGTCATGACCTTATTGATGAAGGTGCAGTAATTTGAGAACGAGGAGATACGATATTCTAGTGTCACCGTCTGAGGCAGGTTGGCATGAAGGTGCCTGAAATAAAGCTCCTTGTAGAGCACCATGGGGATGCTTTCGGCCGTATTCTTTCCCATAATCTGCATCACTTCTTGCTCACTCGGCCAGGGCTTCTTTTCAAAGTAGATCTCGGAAAACCTCGTAAAGCTTTAAAACAAATCATTTTAAATTATTATTTTAAAAAAATAATATTTTTAACAACTTTTACCTGTTCTCATACATATTCTGAATTTCGAACACCCGTCCTTCGTTGATACATTTAAAAAAGTACGTGATGAATGACGCGACCTCTTCGTGCATATGTGAAACGCTCTTGCCCCTTTCCCCTTCAGAATCGTAATGCTGGCCGCTGTCATAGTCATAGCCATTATCATCAACTCCCTATAAAGATAATAAATCTTTAGCGTATTTCTCTGACGGCCTGGTTACAAAACGATTAATTGTATAAAATCAAATATACTATGCACTTGTAATGTTTTAATTTGGTCATAGGTGAACATTGTAACGTTTAAAATATTTGTCCAACGTGTTATCTTTTCAATTCAGGATTTGACACCTTTTAATTGGATAATAGTTTATAGATTAAAAAATTAATTGTATGCATTCTGCAGATATTTTATGAATTTAGCAATGACAGTTATTGAAAACAGATGTGTTAAAATTAAGCCATTATTTTGTTTTTGTTTGATTTTGGAAGAAATTATAATTCAAAAAAGTCCCTACTTATTTTTGACTTTTTTTTAGTGTTTTCACTGTAGTTCCCATCTCAATCAGGGAAAAGCTTTAAAAACTACCCACTAGAAACTTATGAACTGTGCACAGAGATAAAAAAGAACCAATGGAAAAATTGTCTTAGGAGAACGTGTTTAGTGTGGTCTTAAATTTTTTTTAAACCAAGGCATGTACATTTTTGAAAAATTTAATGAATTTATTATTGGAAGAATGAATTTTTTGTGAATGTAAATTTAAGCTGCATGCATAGAAAGGAAATTTGTGTTTCCTAACTTTGTACTACAGCCTTGCTTGGACATTAGGTGGGGAATAATTTAACTCAGTGCTCATAGGCAAATCTGCCACAAAATTTAAACATTTAACCTTTTAATGCAGCCAAACATGTTCCAAAGTTTGATCCATTTAATTTGGTTTTAAGAGTCAAATATATCGCAAGGTAAAATCTAGATCCATTTGATAAGGTCTCAAGAGTACAATATATCACAAGGTAACAAGTTTAATCCATTTAATGTGGTTTTGTACAATAAAAATATCGTAAGCTAACAATTTTGATCATTTTATGTGGCTTTACGAGTCAAATATATCACAAGGTAACAATTTGGATTCATTTAATGTAGTGGTGCTTTTTATAAATAAATATAAGCCTTTAGTTCCAGCAGGTTTATATAAGCTGGAACTAAAGGCTTATATTTATTTATAAAACCACCATTATGAATTTCACAGCAAGAACAGGGCCACACTTAACAACATCATTTAATGTAGTTTTATTTAAAAAATTATGTCCCAAGGAAACAAGTTTGATTGATTTATTGTGGTTTTACAAGACAATTATACGATAAAGTAACAACCTGGATCCATTTAATGAGGTCTGAGGGGATAAATTTGTCACAAGGTAACAATTTGGATCCATTTAATGAGGTCTTAAGAGTCAAATAAGTCACTTTGGTAACAATATGGATACATTTAATTTTTTTTTTTTTAAATATTGCACTAGGAAACAATTTTGACTGATTTATTATGGTTTCACAAAACAAGTATAATATATGGTAACAATTTGGATCCATTTAATGAGGTCTTAAGAGTCAAATAAGTCACAAGGTAACAATTTGGATCCATTTAATGGGGGATTTATTATGGATTTACAAGACAAAAATATGATATGGTAACAACTTATATCCATTTAATACTGTCTTAAGAGTCAAATAGGGAGTAGAAGGCAACGAGAAAGCAGACACCCTTGCAAGGAAAGGGGCTGCTACACCGTTGATAGGACCCGAACACTTCTGTGGCATAGGAATCCACACTATTAACAAATATCTCAGACAGAAGGACAAAAAGAAAATGAAGGAACAATGGAATTCACTAACTGGACATAAACAATCCAAGAATCTTCTAACCAATTTTGGTAAGAAAGAAATCACAGAATGTGTCAAAGGAAGCAAGAACAGACTGCGAATCCTAACAGGACACTTAAAGAAAATTGGAACAATCCAAGATGGCACATGTAGATTCTGCAAGGAGGCAGAAGAGACACCAACACATTTACTAACAAACTGCGGAGCTACATTAGCCCGCAGGAGGAAGTGTTTTGGGATGTACAATGTGACCATAGAAGAACTACTGAAACTGGGCCTATTAATCAAGTTTCTTGATGAAATAGGACTCACCGATGTGCTTTGGGGGATACAATAGCTCTTAAAGGGCGCAGTATACCAGACCCTGGAAAAATTACATCTACATCTACAAAAGTCAAATATGTCACAAGGTAACAATTTGGATCCATTTAATCGGGTCTTAAGAGTCAAATAAGTCACAAGGTTAACAATATGGATCCATTTTTTTTTTTTTTTTTAATATTGCACAAGGAAACAATTTTGATTGATTTATTACTGTTTTACAAGACGAGTATCACACGGTAATAATTTGGATCCATTTAATTTTTTTTTTTTAATATTGCACAAGGAAACAATTTTGATTGATTTATTACGGCTTTACAAGACGAGTATCACACGGTAATAATTTGGATCCATTTTTTTTTTTTAATATTGCACAAGGAAACAATTTTGATTGATTTATTATGGCTTTACAAGACGAGTATCACACGGTAATAATTTGGATCCATTTAATTTTTTTTTTTTTTAATATTGCACAAGGAAACAATTTTGATTGATTTATTATGGCTTTACAAAACAACTATATTATATGGTAACAATATGGATCCATTTAATTTTTTGTTTAATATTGCACAAGGAAACAATTTTTTGATTTATTTATTATGGTTTTACAAGACAAGTATGTGATAAAGTAACAACTTGGATCCATTTAATGAGGTCTGAAGTGATAAATTTTTCACAAGGTAACAATTTGGATCCATTTAATTTCTTTTTTTTTTAGTATTGCACTAGGAAACAATTTTTATTTATTTATTGTTTTTACAAGGCAAGCATATATGATAACAACTTATATAGATTTAATATGGTCTTAAGAGTCAAATATGTCACAAGGTAACAATTTTGATCCATTTAATCAGGTCTTAAATGATAAACTTATCACAAGGTAACAACATGGATCCATTTGATGTATCCTTTGTATATGATGCATGAAACCTTTTTAGTACAACAGTGAAATAACTTGAGCTTTTTAAAGAAGGTACTGAGAGTCAAATATGTTCCATGAGGTAACAATCTGGAACCTTTTAACCATATCAGGTCCAAAGGTAGTTAGCCACTAAAAAAATCAATATTGACACCTTTTGGTTGGCCCTTTTTAACTTTTTTCCACCGTTTATTTCCCTTATAAAAGTCCAACGGTTAAACCGATAAAGAAAAGACTATATTTATGGCCAGAGACCGGCGAAATATGCCACCCTCATGCAATTTATGTAGGGTAAATGTACAACTATATTTAAATTAAATTGCACTCACTTCGTAATTATCGTATGGCGTGTCGTAAGGCGTAATCGCGTACATCTCGAATTTCACAATTTACAGGAAACCACAAGAAAATTGACTTTTTTTTGTAAATAAATCAGTGGATCGGACGAACTACGCTTTCCAAAATTCCAACCTCGAACCACACAGACTTTGAGTGTACGCCACATCGATGTCTAAATCGAAAAGGTTACAATCGATTCAAAATCAATTTATATTTTTAATTAAACAAAATTTTAAATATATTCAAATGTATTTAAAATAATTAACGAGCTGTTAAATAAATACAACGTTTAGTTATTTTGTAAAAATTGATTTATTAAAATTTATTTTTTAAGTGCTAATTTTACAATTAAATGTTTATTTTGTTCAAAACAATCGATACTGGAACATCGATTTTACTTAGGACCACGTGCCACACACATCTTTCCTTCATATAGGACACATTATTTATGTTTAATTGTGACGGAAAATCTTTTTTTTGGCCCGTTTCGTCTCGCTTTTTATCTCTTTTGACGATACTGATCAACATTTGAGAGTTTTATGTTATTTGACTTAATTCGAGAAATTATGAGCCGGAACGTGGCGCACTCATAAGACGGCGGTTCAGACTAAATATCGAATGGAAAATGTTCCAAACCTTTTGTAAAAGAACAAAATCTTTATTTTTTTAGAAGATTTAATCAGTCACAAAATGAAATAGGTTTGATCCTTTAATTCTGGGATAAAGGTCAAATGTATTCTAAAATAATACACTTTTGATTTTAATGAGTTCTTATGAGCCAAACAAACAATTTGACCAATTTTGAAATGTCAATTGTCAAATAAACAAATTTCACTCATTTAAAGTCTTATTTGTCAAATATGACACATGATAACAATTTGTAGCCATTTAATGAGGTCTTAAGAGTCAAATAAGTCACAAGGTAACAATTTGGAGCCATTTAAAGAGGTCTTAAGAGTTAAATTTGCCACAAGATAACTATTTGAAGCCATTTAATAAGGTCTTAAAAGCCAAATAAACAATTTGATCAATTTTGAAATGTTAATTGTCAAATAAACAAATTTCACTCATTCAATGTCTTATTTGTCAAATATGACACATGATAACAATTTGCAGCCATTTAATGAGGTCTTAAGAGTCAAATAAGTCACAAGGTAACAATTTGAAGCCATTTAATGAGGTCTTAAGAGTCAAATAAACAATTTGATCACTCTGATCAATTTAATGAAAGTTAGTCGTCAAATAAAGAACTTTCAGTCATTCAATGAGGTCTTATGAGTGAAATATGGAAGAGTATAACAATTTGGAGCCATTTAATAAGGTAAGAAAAAATAAACAATTTGACCAATTTATAATTTAACTTATTTATTTTAAAGGTACAAATAGAGCTTTACACCCCCTTACATGCAAGTTATATGTTATATTATAAACAATATTAGTTATAGCATTAGTTGTACAGAAAAAGGCACTTGACTTATCAGATGTCAATTAAGCACAATTGCATTTTTCTCTCCCTTAAACCGAGGTGACTTAATGATGGATTGAGGGTAATTAGATTAGATTCTGTGTATGCTTCCTCGAATGTATATCGGCGGAGCTGCTACTTTTTAAATAAACGTTTTTTAAAAACGAACATCTCAAATAATTAGCTATAATTTGTACATGTATTAGAAATAAATTTATTTAATAATAATAATACTCTCCGTCCAGATGATATAGTCGTTTATGTGAAAAACATTATCAAACGAAAGTGGGCGGCAAGATGGAATGTCTGTAGAGATAGTATGAAAGAAATTAAGCCAGTTGTACATAAATGGCCAACTGAGGAACTTGAGAGAAAAGAACTTGTGATTCTCTCTAGATTGCGAATAGGTCATNCCCCCCAAAATTACGACGCCCCCCAAAAATAAGAGGGGCTGGAAAAAGGGGAGGCCAAGGAAAATAGTTGTAGAAAATCTTAAGTAGTCAGTTTAGCTGACTCCTGTTAGGTAGAAGGTTGAAATTTTAGATTAATATGGAATCAATCATCCAATGGAATGTGAGAGGACTGAAGAATAATTATTGCTTTTTGAAGAGGATCATGGTGGATCATACTCCTTTTATCATTGCTCTTCAGGAGACTCACCTTAAGAAAACGGAATCCTTTACGTTGAGAGGTTACAACATTTTTTCTAAAGAGGCTGAGGTTTCTGAAGGAGGTAGAGCTCATGGGGGTGTGGCACTGTAGTAAGTATCAATTATTTATAATAGGATGATGAAACCACATTACAAAAGAAAAGCCAAAAGAGAAAAAGGTAAAATGATTTCGTTCAATATGTTGGTGGAGGTAGAAGAAAGCAATCCAGCATTGGTAATCAGTATGTGTAGTTATCGACCAGCATTTGTCGATTCTAAATTTGCATCAAAGATATGGTCCAAACCACATCCCTGAACTTTGAATTAAGAGTCAATAAAACAACATATAGAATCAACTACAGCTCCATTGATAAGTAAATTCTTATTGACCCTTAAGACTCCATTCAACGAATCAAAATTGTATTTTTTAGAACATATTTGACTTCTATTAACAAGCCTGAATCTATTTAATGAAGTCTTAATAGACAAATAAACAATTTTGCTCCATTTAATAATTTTTAAGATTTAAATATGTCGCAAGATAACATTTTAGAACTGTTTAATGTGATCTTAACGGTCAAATATTTCAAAAGGTATCAAGTTGAATCCATTTATTGAGGTCCTAAGAATCAAATACGGTGCAAAATATTTGGTCATTTTAAAAAAAATACCTGGTGGCCACAACGGTTTAGGCGTTGATACGACACTCAAAGCGAAAATTTGCTATGGTTAAATATTACGGTTAGTTACGTTTCGCCAATTGGGGCCAGTTTTATCAAAATTGGACTATAATTAAGAAAAGTATGTTACATTATAATAGACAAGAGTAAAGGCAAAATAGAAGAACAATCTTGGATGAAATATTGTTCAAGCGTCCATTGATTTTGTCCAAAAACGTCCGGCGGGAAAAGGTCCAAAAAAAGAAGAATTGAAATTAATTTGTGAAAGTGTCTAAGCATTTTAATCAAAATGTTGTCAGAAGAAAGACCAGTACTCATCAAATTTTACAAGTTTCCATATTGGATAGATTTTTTTTTTTTTTTTTTTTTTTTTTTTTTATTTTTTTTTTTTTTTTTAAGGCATAAAACCACTAAGGGTCATAGCTCATAGCTGCCTTAAAGCATCAACCAATGCAGCCTCCCCACCGCACGAACCAGAGGGGCCACGGCCCCAGGAAGGAGGAGGCCCGGAGGGCCAGCCGCATTGCCGAGGGACGAGCACTATATAAACAGCGTGATGTTATCGCTGAAGCTGAACTAATGTTGTTTCGGCTCCTCCAGAAGGATGTGCATGGGCTGTGGACATCCACATCCTTCAAGAGCCGGGGTATTCTTTTTCACCCATACGCAAAGCGCCCGAACCTCCGCCGCGCCCGACCCCCGGCAGCCACCCCCAGGGAATAAGGCCCCCCGCCCACACAGACGGCAAAGGCCACACTAATTTATATCCTGTTCATTAATTCAGCAGTCTTAAGATATTGAAAAAGTTGATCTATGGTATCTGGATCGTCTTTTAGAATGTTATAGAGGGTTTGCGGATAAGAGATGTGGTGTCTGTAGGCTGAGTAGATTGGACAGTGCAGAAGAAAGTGTTTTGTTGTAATAATCTCATTGCAACAAGGACAGACAGGGGGTGGTTCTCTAGCCATCAGATGACTCTTAGTGATCCTACAGTGGCCAATTCGTAATCTTGTATCACCTCTTCCCTACGTTAGTCCTGATTGAACTCAGCCAAGGTTTAACTGTTAGTTTTATTTCCCTAAGCTTATTTTCCCCAACATCGTGCCAGTCTTTTTCCCAATTGGATAGTTAAATAGAATCTTAGGGTTACATAACAGCTGGAAATGCAAGCAGAAATTCATGTAGAAGATGTTTTCTTGAATAAATTGGGTGTGTATGGACAGAACAGGAGCTGCAAGTGATAAATTTCAGCCAATTTACTTTTTAACCTGATTTATTGAATGTTTAAAGTGTAAAGCTTCAAAAACCCTTGTTATTTTAATGCAGTGTACAGCATGGATTAACATATGGTGCGGCGTGTTATATTAGCTTTAGGTTTAGGTTACGTCAAGTATAAATAATATGATATTATCATTAATATAAACATGTGTTAAAATAGATTTATTCTCTTGGAGAAAATGGTTAAGAGCGGATTAGTTTTGATTTTGACAGATGCCGTTTTCACCTTCTTCCTCGTCTACCTGAGCCATAGGACGGACATCACCGTCGTGAGTGAATTGAGTTTGACGGCCGCCTTACCGTTCAGTCATAACAGTTATGTTTTAATCGGGGTATGCCTGTTGACCATCGTGTTCGGGGTAGTGTCCGACTCTTTGAGTCCTGTCGGCAGGCCGGGCGTCGTCCTGATCGGCATCTTCTCCTGCTTCATGTCCGGCGTCTTCCTTCTCATCGGCAACGGAGTCTCTTTCCTCGCTTTGGTCCTCTTCGTCTACTTTTCCAGCTCGCCGGTCCGCAACGTTTTCCTGCTCGAACAGAAGGATCGAAGGCAATTGGATGAAGTGAAGAGTTTCGTATTCCGTCTGAGCTACACGAGGCTTTGGGTCAGGATCCTTTCGGTCCTGCTCGTAGAAAAAGGGTTCGAGCAAATGTTCCACGTCTATTTTACAGCGTCGAGTCTCGTCTTTTTCATCTTGTACCATTTGACGTTCACGACGTTTCTCAAAGACTTGTACTACGAGCCGACCTACAAATGCATAAACTTCAAGGTTTTAGCTTGTTTCACAAACGCGTGGTCTACTCGAAAAAGGCCGGTGTATTATAGAAAGGACGAAATAGTCGTAGGGATTCTGGAAGTCACCGACCGGGACCGAGTCAAGTTCAAAGATAACCAGAAGGCCAGAAAGTGTCTGTACGGATTTCTCAGAGCGATCGTACCCGATGTCAACGTTTACGTGATTAAGGAAAAGAATTATATGGTGAGGATACAACACTGGCTCCTCAAATCGAGGCCGGAAAGTTCGGAATACGTGATATTGCAGACGTTGCGGTTCTACAGGATTCTTCCTGCTGTATTGTTGTCATCTTTTTTC